CGAGAAAAATAACGTCGAGCCAACAAAAATTTACCGTTTTATCAGTCCTGTTTTTGCATGCGAAAAGCCCATGTGGGGGTTGGTTTAACGCAGCAGCCTAATACCCCATGGGTGTGGGTGGACCCCCCCCCCCCCCCCCCCAACAGCTCTCTCGAGAGAATACCAACAAAATGCTCGCAGGCCGATTGACGGTAGACTCCAGGATCGTCGAGAGGCCACTCCCACCAGCATACCTATTGGGGGTCGTGCTATACGCTTGCTCGGCCTGGAACCGCTTGACCTTATGTTTCTCGAAACCCTTCGGGACCGCGTTGCCTTAGTGGACATCATATGACTATGATTTTCTCGGTCGTCACGTACTAATGGCTACAGAATGCTACAGTAAGCGTCTGGTTGTATGAGCAGCTATCCCTGCGCATCGAAGGAAAGATCAGGGTCAGTCCTCCCTCCCGGGCGTGTTGATGTGGCTTGTGCTAATACAGACGTAGGGTTTTGACGAGTTCCTTAACCTCGTCATTGACGACGCAGTCGAGGTCAAGCTAGTCACCAAGACCAATGATAAGGAGATAAGAAAGTCACTAGGTACAATCCCCAGGTCTCATGGTCGACAAAATAACACGAGGCTGATACTTTTTATAGGCCAAATCTTGTTGAAGGGCGACAACGTGTCCCTGATTCAGAGCTTGTCGGGCTGAAGGATGTTGCGTCGCTACGATAGATACCCTCGACTTGGAAAACACATTCGCTGTCTCCATCGTTGAGGTGGCATTCAGAACTGGTGGGGAGGACGTCGGAATATCAGACCTTTCCGGGTGCTGGTTTGGGAGGTGGTTGGGAAAGGGGGTTGTGCTTTACGTTGGGTCTCCCTGGCTAGGGTTCCCCGGTCGCCACGATGCGCATGTGCATGTTGCACACAAACTCGACCAAGTTGCTGGTAAGACATACGAGTGGAATCCCTAGATTCTGCTTATTACCATGGGTCTCGTGTCATGCTACAACTGAGAGATCAGTTCCTGATACACCGTCGCGATAGAGATTATACTTTGAGGAATTCCCAGATTCCTTTGACAGTGCCTAAATATGGAGCTTATGACGGGACGAGTGCGCAGGACTGCTCTATATCATGAAGTGCAAGTGAATCGCTCCTCTTGTATTGTGTGCCCGACCATATTCGACTGAACCGCCAAGAACCAAAGGGCGTTCTCTCGGGACACTTAGTCCTGTCCGAGGGGCTCAACCAGGGGGTTCTGGAGAAGAAATAAACAATAAACAAAAGCGAGAGCAAAAGGCGTGAAGAATCGCAAGCGTCTAACCAGGGATTAATTTTAAGCTGCGAGGTTGTATTGATAGACACGGGGGCAAGGGAATCGATCAATCATGTTCGATCAATTGAACACCCAGGATTATCTGTGGCTCCCCTGAGTGGACGAATCGATTTCGTGGGTGAAACACCTGACCCATGGCACAGTTGGGGCGAGACTTCGCTAGAAAGATGAAGACGGTTAAATTTAGAACGCGATTCGCCCTAGGCACTCTGTCGCTCAGCCCGTGACAATTGGCGGGTTTCAAGACCGGGCGCGTCCCGCACACGGCCACCCCGCATTCCTGCTTACTGGTCAGCGGCCGGCGACATCATCGCGAATACTTGCTTGGATCTCCCTCTCGGGCATCGCTCCCAGGATATTGCCAGCTTTGGCCCCAGCCCGCTGGTTAGGTCGCCTGATCCGCACACTCCACCGCGCCCCAGACGACTTGGAAGGACTACCCTTTTGAGTAAGGTGGGTACCTATTTTGGACTCAGCAACGGCTCTCGAGGAGAGACCAAGGAAACTGGTGTCTCAGCTATTCCTGAGAATGCCTTCCTCAAGTGTATCGTGGACCATGTATGGGGCTACGGGCTGAGGGCTGTAAGGCCAGTTGATACCGTTTCCTCCCTCCCCCTTGAAGGGGTCGGATTGCTCAGTAGAACCCAGATATAAATGGCAACTACCTCCTCCCCCTACATGAAGACTCCCAAATGTAATCAAGTTGGCTCTCAAGCTCATCCATCTTGCCTCCCTCTGAGCATTATCTCCCGTTCATCCGGCTACCACACACCACAACAGTGTCCTTCAGCCTCAGGGCACTACCCAGTTGGCTTCGTCCCTCCTCCCAGGCCAAGCCAACCCTACACTCCAGATCAAGATGGTCCGCCAACATCACGCAGGCCCTAAAAGGCGATTCAGCCTCCTTGACCCACTCGTCCTACTCCTCCTCTCATCAGCCCGCTCCGCCGCCGCGGCCTCCAAGGACAAGACGACAGCCCTCTTCACCGACCCGGACACGGGCATCTCCTTCCAGCGCTTCTTTGGCGCCAAGACCTCCTTCTCCTTCGGCATCGCCCTGCCCACCACCCCAACCGACTCCTTCATCGGCATGCTCGAGTTCCCCCTCAAGTCCGGCGCCGGCTGGGGCGGCTGGTCCCTGACAGGCGACATGGAGGGTCCCCTTCTGATGGCGGCGTGGGCGTCCACGCCTTCCCCCAACGACGCCTCCACGGCCGGCGGGGTGATCTCGTCGTTCCGGCAAGCCTTCAACGAGGACGACAACCCGCCCGAGGTCTCGGGGTCGTTCGTCGCCCGCCCCATCGCGGCAGGCACGTCGGCCAACGCGACGCACCTCAAGTACACGTTCCTGTGCGAGGGGTGCCTCGACGCGTCGCTGGGCCTCGGCGCCGCCGACACGGCGGGCACCGCCGAGATGGGCTGGGCGCTGGCGGGCACGGCGGTGCGCGGCGCCGGGAAACCAGACGGCGTCCTGGGGTTCCACGACGTCGGGTTCGGCGACTTCGACGCAGACCTGGCGGGCGCGCGGTTCGCAGACTTCGAGACGTGGGCGGCTATGGCGGGGGCGCCGATGGTGGCGTCCACGTCGGCGAAGGCGATCGTGCCGGATGGGGGGGATGGGGGTGGTGGGGATGATTCGGGGGATGATGATAGCGATGATGATGATGATGACGATGATTGAGGGGGAAAGGGGTGGAAAGGGGGGGGAGGTTTAGCATGAGGCTTTGATTTGATTGTGTATATTTAAAACAATAAAATATTGTTAAGACACATTGTATCTCTGCCCTTGGTGAAACGGATTGCAAAGGTAAGAAGACCTGGCTGGAAATATCGATTCTTTGCTGCCTTGACAACCACCCATGCCTAACTCCTACAATCGACAGCATCGATACCAAGCCACTGGCACAACACTAGCAGGCTATCTATCAACACAGAAGGATTGGAGAATGAAACAGCATCCATACAGACATAAAGCTAAGGCATTTAATACAATATACAGCAGTAAGAAGGTAAAGGGTGTCCATGCTAATGGTACATGAACCAGCCTCAAGAGGCACAATAACGGACCCTCGCAAGCTGTCCTGGTCTCACAACACACTCCGTTTTTAGTCGGGGAAGATGGAGAACAACTCCGGCCCAAGCTCCTTGGGGCAGGGGCCGGAGTCCAACCGGCCAGCATCGCCGGGAAGGATGCATGTCTTGCCATTCTCGCTCTCAGGGGCGAAGGCGAAGCTGAGGGCGCCGATGAAAGGCATCAGCTGGCCAGTGTTCGTTTCTCCGCCTATGGTGGGGGAGTTTGTTAGTGACTGGAGAGAAGAAGAGGAGGGAGGGAGAAAAAACTCACTTCCATCAGCGCGGCCACCACATGAAAACAGCGTAACGGTGTCACCCGGTTGTCTGCGGCCATCAAAGCTGATGCAGCCCTGAGTCTGTAAGGGAAATACATTGTCAGCTTATCAGTCTCTCTCGCTCCGAGTTCCAGTCAGGGAGGGGACACAACTCACCAGAGTGCTGACGATAAGAGCCGACTCGGGCCTATCGTTGTGCACGCCCGCCGAGATGACATCCCACTTCTCGTTGGGGGTGCCGGCGCAGTCGACCAGGCCCACGGGGATCAGGTTCTGGCGGAAGTCGCCGGCGGTCGGGTCGATGGACAGGCACTGGCCGTTGGGGGCGCGGATCTCGACGTTGCTGAAGGCGCGCGTGGCCGTGCCGTCGCGCCGGTTGGCCTCGGCCGCCGCCGTCGGGTCGAGCGTGCCGCGGGCCCCCGAGACCGGCACCGGCGTCGTCGGGCTCGCCGTCGCGATCGCGCCTCCTCCGCCTGCCGCCGCGGTCGTCGCGGCTTCGGGCGCGGCCGTCGAGGCGGGTAGCAGGTCGGCCGGGTCGAAGCTCGCGGCACCGGCGGCGACGCCCGGTAAGGTGACGGTCCTTGTGCGCTGGTTGCATTTCGACTTGTTTTTCCTCAACCTGTTTTTTCTCGGTTTTGCGGGACACGTCGTGGCCTTTGGCGCAGCGGTGGTTTGCGCGTTGACGGCAGTCGTACTTTGCGTATCGGCAGTAGCAGTGCCTTGCGTCTCAGCGGTAGCCGTGTTTTGGGCATCGGCAGTAGCCGTGTTTTGGGTATCGGCGGTAGCCGTGTTTTGAGTATCGGCAGCAGCCGTGGTCTGTGTGTTGCTGTCACCACTGCCGTCACCGTTGCCATTGCCATTGCCGTTTCCATTGCCGCCATCGGCAGCGGCAGCCCTGCCGAATGTGAAGGACTGCTTGGCGTCGCCGGCATTGCACTTGGCGATGTCAAGGACGTTGCCATTGACGGTGAAGCATGAGCCCTGTTCATTCTCGGGCTGGAAAGACAGGGGCCCGGCTCCACCACCGAAGGTGAAGAGCTGAGAGTTTGTGACCTCGCCACCTGCGCAAGACGAGGTTAGCAAGGAGGTTTGGACGACGGCTCTCGTAGTTAGAAACACGAACCTCCGTCAGCTCGGCCGCCACAGGAGAAGAGCAGGACCTGGTTTCCTCCAGCTCTTCGGGGGTCGAAGTTGAAGCAGGCCTGGGTCAGAGTGCTCACGACGAGCATCGAGTTGGCGGCATTGTTGTGCTTCCCGCTCGTAATGATATCCCATCCCTGGCCGCCTGTTGCGCCACAGGTGCCGACCTGGATCGGAGTCAAGTTTTCGCGGAAGTCACCAGAGAGCTTGTCAACGAAGAGACAGCGGCCGTCGGAGGTCTGGAGCCACGGTTAGGGCTCGGTACTTTGAGCTAGACAGCGTTAAAGAGCTTGCTAACTTGCCTTGATCTGAACGTCCGAGAAGGCCCTCGTGGCGTTGTCGTCCCTCTGCTGGGCCTCGGCAGTTGCCGCGTCGTCAAGCTTGTCCACGGCCCGCGGTGCCGGGCGGTCGGCGGCTGCGCTTGCAGCTGCCAGCGCAGCGTATGCAAGGAGCGAAGGGAGAATAGCAACCATGGTGTATGAGTGCGGGTGGTGCGAAGTGAAGGTAAATGGAGTTCGTATAGAAACGAAGCGAAGCGAAAGCTGACAATTCTGTACAAAGGAATGGAAAGCCTGCTCAGCAGGGAGGGAGAGAAAGGCAGAGCTGGCAAGGCAAGAGAAGAGAAGAGAAAGAAGACTACGAAAGTGAAGCTATTCACGATCTCATGGCGCAGCGGAAGGGAGGAAGGGAAGGTGGGAGCGAGGCGCAGAGGCAGATCGTGACGATCCGGGGAAGATGCTCTACTTAACTTCTGTCCTGCGTAGTCCTCCATCGTGGGAACAAGGTTCGGCAGGTAGGTAGGGGGAATGGCTCCATGGCCGCTGCCCCTGCGCTCCTCGTGCGGGCCTACTATGTGGGTGCTAAGTGCCCGATGAGGCCGGCAGTGGTGACGCTGGTGGGCGCGAGCGGCTGCATTGCATCCAGTGGCGAAGCAGGAAAGGCAGGATGAACCGTGGTCGCATGTCCCAGATTTGCGGGCCAAAGCCAGGGAAAAGGGATGGATTTGTTTGGCCTGAAAATTAAACCAACTTGTTTTGGCAATCATGAAGATCAGGCACAGCAATGTGAAACGGTGCCTGTTACAGCCAGCCGCGACGGCCGGGCGCTGGTGCGCTCCAACCCCCGGATTAAGGTGTACAAGCCGCTGTGGCTGATCCATTGGACCCCTGTGGGGCACATAATTTTGCCGACGATCCGCCCATGACGGCTGTCGCCAGACGACAAACGAACGAGGGAGGATCTCTTGATACAGAACCAGGATAAACAGGATCGCTCAGGATCACCAGGCGAAACAAGCTTAAATTGGTCTCGTTCCACAGGTTTCGGACCCTGGAAAAGGGCATCAACATCTTTCTGTCATTCGCCAAGCCCCTCTTCCGATTCTTCACGAAGCGCCGAATGCGCCAAACACGATGGGACGCAACGACGAGCTCCAGTCAAGTTCGGAAGGTGTAAATTATCTTCTGCGATTGGAGCGTGTTTTCCCGACCAAAGATGACGGAGAAGGGGAGAGGCCTCAATGTTGTTTCTTCGATAGACTGTCAATATAGATGGACCCATACATAGGTGCAATACATACATGCTGCATACATACCTAACTCTCAAGTTGAACTCTTCGAAAGTTTAAGACCCCGACTCCAATTGCGCGAGTTTCCACGGTTAGGTATGTACGGAGAGGTAAGTGGCCGATTGCTGACAGTTGTCAACCCGAGATCGGCATCCCATCCCGCCCGTAACTACAATCGACCCCGACCCCAACCTCAACATGACTCACGGGTATGTAATTCGTGTTGAATCATTCTTCTCTTTCCACCCCAAACCGCAAGAAAACCCAAGCACCAAGAACCAAGAACCAAGAACCGAAGCCACCACGGCTGCACCAGTGACTGCCTCAAAAACATGGGTGCCTTCTACGAGACCATCCCCGAGTCCCAGATCGCATGGATCATGAAGCAGAAGATGTTCTGCGTGGCCACGGCCCCGCTCTCGGGCTCCGGCCACGTCAACGTCTCGCCCAAGGGCGGCGAGTACTTTGGCGTTCTTGACCCAAAGACGTTCTGGTACATGGAGCTGACCGGCAGCGGCTCCGAGACCATTGCCCACCTGCATGAGCCCGGGAACGGGAGGATCACCGTCATGTTCAACGCCTTTGACGGCCCGCCCAGGATCATCCGCCTGTGGGGGAAAGGTGAGCATGAATGACTCCAATCGCTTTTTGGTCTGTCCTTTTTTTTTTGGTTTGCCCTATGGCTATCCCTCCCGGCAGGTCGGCGGGGCATCTCCGGGACTTGACGCCCGCCTGGGTTTATCCCCGGATCTGACAACTGGCCGCAGGACGAGTGCTCGAGAACGGGTCCAGCGAGTTCCGTTCCTTCGTGTCAGATCATAACGTGGAGACACTTCCCGGCACGCGATCGATCATCATAGTCGATATCCACCAGGTTGGGTCCTCGTGCGGATTCTCCGTCCCGTACTACGATTTCAAGGCGCATCGCCAAATCCTTAACGACCATTTCCGGAAAAAGGAAGAGAAGTTCAAGGCGGGCAATGTGAATGAGAGTGTAGAGAGGTGAGTTTAGTTCCTCGTCGTCCCCGCCCCGGCAGACAGCCTGGGAACCTAGCCAACACCTCGGGTAATTTGTCTAGATACTGGGCCTTCAAGAACTCTTGGAGCATGGACGGACTGCCTGCCATGAAGAAGGGCCTCGAGGTCGGCAAGCGAGAAAAGGTAGAGCCGATCAAGAAGATGGTCGGGCCATTGGCACCGAAGAACAATCAGAAGGGCGGCGGTGCTGCTGGCCTCACACTCGAAATCGTTGTGGCCATTGCCCTCGTGAGCTTCATCCTCGGCGCTCTGCTGGCCCTATACGGTCGGGACATCCTGGCCCTTGGTCCTCCGAGGACATTTACGCTGCCATTTACCGACAGAGGCTCCTTACCAGTGCCAGCCATCTTCAAATCGCTATACTCGTACACATGAGCGAGCGACCAGCGAACGATCGATCGGGCGAGCTGGTTATCCTCCTGGTCTCAAAAAGTTTATCATAATATATATTATACGGCCTTGGCTACGGGTCGGGTCCGTCAAAATATCGGGAACGACTCTGTCAGTTGGCACTACATTACATACAATAAGTCATCTTATATAACCTTCCATGTCATCCAGCCGGCGGCAGCAGCTCAGTTCAGCTTCTTGCTCGCGCCAGCACCGACCGACCGGCGGGCCTTGCGCTTGCAGGTGTTGTTCATCAGCGCCTCCATGACACCATCGTAGGCGGGATGGGTTGTGAAGTCCTCGAACCAGAGCAGAGGGGCACCCTCGCCGGGGAAGACGGCGGGAACCCAGCTGAAGGGGTCATAGAAGTCCCAGATCGTAACGCCGATGCAGGCATCGACCTGGACGCAGGCTCCGACGATCTATCAAGCCAGAGAATTAGCAAAATGACATTTTGAGGATTGCTGTGTGTGGAAACAAAAATGGTTTCGCTCACGTTCTTGTACGCCTCCTTCTGCCAAGCCAGGTTGGTGGCGTTGACGGGCAGCTGCAGTCTGACGTCCAGCTCGGTGAGCGCAACCTCGACGCCGAGCTCGGCGTACGACTTGATGACGGCGATGTGCTGGTCGAGGGTCGGCGCCTGGTGGGCGATGAGGTGGGCCTGCATGCCGATGCCGTCGATGCGGATGCCCTCAGCCTGGAGCATCTGCACGATCCTCCTCGCGCCCTCGCTCTTGGCGCCGGGGGACTCGAGGTTGTAGTCGTTGTAGTACAGCTTGGCGTCGGGGTCGACCTCGGACGCGACCTTGAACGCGTGCTTGATGAAATCCTCGCCGAGGGTGTCGTAGAAGACGGAGCTGCGGTAGCTGCCGTCCTCCTCGAGCGCCTCGTTGACAACGTCCCAGGCGTAACATCTTCCCTTCCAGTGGCCCGCGACCTGGGTGATGTGCTCGGTTATGGCGTCACGGAGGGTATCCGCCGTCCAGTCCTTCTTCTGCTCGACCCACGGCGCCAGCTGGCTGTGCCAGACAAGGGCGTGGCACCGGAGCATCTGGCCGTTCTCCTCGGCGATCGAGGCGACGATCTCGCCCTCGGTGAAGTTGAAGACACCCTGTTGGGGCTCAGTGAACAGCCACTATAGTGTCATGGTTAGTAACATTCCATCATGTTTTCGGCAATGGGCAATGACGACGCACCTTCATGCCGTTGGTGGGAGTTGTCTGCCCGAACTCCTTCGTGTCCCTCATGATGGCATCGTACTGGGCATACTCGGCCTCATAACCAGAACGCTCGCGCTGCCCGGGGGAGTCGGTTGCGGCGCCAAAGTACTTGAGCCCGGCCTTCTTCGCGTGGTGGTTGAGCTGGGCAGACGCCAGCGGCAGCGATGCCGCCAGCAGGACCGAGGGGACAGATGAGAAACGCATGATGGCGTGAGACAAACGAGTGTGAGATGAGGAAGAGGAACCGACTCAAAGATTTGAATGAGCTCCAATTACAGCACCGTGGGACGGGACTGGTTCGCCGATCTGCTATTTATACACCCTGTAACCCTACAATGTCACCGTCACCGTCTCCAGTCTCCATGGTCTACCCCAATCTCCCAGGGCGGGGGGAGCCAGGGTCGTTCCGGATATTCCAAGATGAGGGGCGGCGGGTAAACATCATGATGCTTGGCTCCTCGACCTACGTCGTAACGGGCAGCTCCCTGAATCCCCTAGTCCCTACGCGACATGGGGGACATGACCCGGCAGCTCGGTTGCCCTGGTATCACAACAGAGACTCCCCTGCATGGGAATAAAGGAGTACCCGTAAACAGCAAATGGGGTGACTGGCAATAAAGGATTTCCCGCTGGAGGAGGGTCAGATCGAGACCTCGAGTCCGCGATGCATGGGGTCGCGTTTGCAAATTGAGCCGATTTAGAGTAACGGAATCACTGATTCCAGGTTGTACCTGGATCCATGGCCTTGCGGCTCTTGGCTAGTGTGTACCTGAGTTGGGGAAGATCTTCACCTGGCTAATCATGAACGCCCGGCTAAAGAGTCAGCACGTGGGGTTGGTTGTATTCTGCTATTTTGCCTGAGATTCGAAGTGCATGGCAACCGGCGTAAGCGGATCCCCACTCCCCACAGCCGGGCCCCATGGGAGAACACCGGGAAGAACCTTCTTGGCCGCTTCATCATGGACAGCACACGACGTACTCTGTTTGTCATTGTTGGGGTTGTACGTACCCGAACTCCTCAAAATAGCATGGCCCAGACCCAACAGGCATTTACCGGTTCCTTTGCCATTTCTGCTCTGGTAGTGTACATACTTGGTGCTGGGTGCCGGCTATCAACTTTCCCCAACCTTCTGGAAAGTGCATATGTATAATTAGCAGAAGGCAAACTGTGCTCCGTCGCGGTGAAGCAGGCACAAGGCCATGTTAATCCCGTACTCTGCTTAGAACCTTGCGCATGCAAATCTAGCCATCGTCATGAGGACCACACCCTGGGCGAACTGCTTCTCGCAGGTAAATCCACCCGTTTGGGCGGAGAGATGGTATCCCTTTCCACAAGGATATGATACCAACAGGTTATCGCATATATGTTGAGAACTTCAAGAACACTCCAAGCCGAGAGAGGCTTGAAGAGTCCGAGGCTCCAGTGCCAGCACGGTCGTCCTGGCCTGAACCCCTCATAGCATCATCTCCAGTGGAACCTGCAGAGAGATGCGGTGGAGATGTGGTAGAGATGTCTCGGCCAGGTATAACCAGTCAGCCGCGGCCTTGAGATCTTGACGGGGAAAGACGAAGAAAGAGGGGGATACAAACGCCTGGCTGCTTGTTTGGAAGCAGCTTCAAGCTCACTCAAGAGTGTGCTCTCCATAGATTCGAAGGGCGAAGTTGAGGGCTCTAAAATCACTTGATCCCAATGCCATTTGCACCGTCAAGGCTACTGGCAAACGGAGGACGACTCGTCGCCAGCTCAACACGCATGAATCCTTTCTGACAATTGGCGGCGTCGAAGCCTACGCTCGCCAGCTGGTGCCAGCCGTTCATTCACTGAGCCACATTTTGTAGGCTTTGAAGGCGAAGGGCTGCAGCCCTAATTTTTCCAACGCTTCATCCTAAGCTCGGACCCACTCCGAAAAAACCAACATCGTCCTTTTGCGCACTCGCTCTCGCTCACGATCGAATTTCAACTCTCTCTCGACCAAATCGCAAACGAATACCGCAAAAATGGCCGGAGGTATCGGAGTCCGCGACGTCGATGTAGGTTCTATTTCCCGCTGCGCAACATGACGAAACTTTTCTGCGAGGCACCGAGCACGACAAGACAAGAAGACCATGGGAGCAGGAGCGAGGGGGTCGCAAGACTTCTGACGACGGAATAATGCTAATTCATGGTCTTTTTGATTGCAGTCGCACAAGTTTATCAACGCCTATGCTGCGTTCTTGAAGCGACAGGGCAAGCTGCCCCTCCCTGGTAAGTTTTGATCTTGTGTCGTCCTCTCCCATCTGTCGCTGGCAAGTTGATCCTAACCGCGACCCCCCCTCCAGGTTGGGTTGACACCGTCAAGACCGGCCCTGCCAAGGAGCTCCCCCCCCAAAACATTGACTGGTTCTATGTGAGGTCCGCTGCCATTGCCAGGCATGTCTACTTGCGCAAGACCGTCGGTGTTGGCCGGTTGAAGAAGGTCCACGGCACCGCCAAGAACCGTGGTTCCAGGCCCTCGAAGCACGTCACTGCCAGCGGAAGCGTCGACCGCAAGGCCATGCAGGCTCTGGAGAAGATCAACGTTCTCGAGAAGGACGAGGAGAGAGGCGGCCGCCGCATCACTCAGTCCGGTCAGCGGGATTTGGATCGTACGTGTGCTCGTGGGACATATCATCTTTAAAGACCCTTCGCTAACTATGCTACAGGTATTGCCCAGACCGTTGCCGAGGCTGAGGAGGAGGAGGATGAGGATGAGGAGTAGATGTGCTCTCTTCTAGAACGGATTCTTGATTCCCGGTAGCATCACGGTTAGGCGTCTCAAAATGGATCACTGGCTTGCTTGACTGGTCACTGCTGTTCTTCATGACATCACCTCCACCTACTGGAATCCGAAATGTATGCCATCTACCAACTTGATGCCTGACGACTAGTGAATGTATTTGCGTGGAAGCCCTCTCAGCCCTTGACAGCCGGCTGAGGATCCTCAGGCCATCGTTCCTTTCTACGTGAACATCATTCCTTCAAACTCATCACCTTCCTTCCACACACGCGCGGTCCTCTCAAATTCTTTCCTCTCTAACCTGATATCCCCTCGCCTACCTTCGCGCGCTCCATTCCCTTCTCCTCAGACCCTAAACTCACACTCGCCCCGTCTTCACCATCCTTCGTTCAGAAGCAAGGCCTCTTAACAAGGTCGAGTCTTCTTCCCTACTTAACGGTATTTATTCACACAACGCTGCTTGGTGGCCTAGAAATCTTTCACCGCGGAAGACTTCACAATCCGCTTTCCGATTTCCTCTCAAAGGTCTATCGAACAGACGTTCCTGAAGTATTTTGCACCCCCGCTAGGTGAGTTGAATATCTTTTTCTGCTGATACCTTCCCCTACTCTGCATCTCTTGATTCCCTAACACATATACATCTATCCCTTGCCCTAGCCTACCCCAAGCTAACCGATTCTGAGGAGCCAAACCTCGACATCTCCAAGGCTCCTTCACCGCCGACCCAGCAAGATGGCTAGTAGGCATATGCGACTCGCAGCCATCCACCGGGCAGTTTTGGAAGGCGATCTAAATCGAGTCAACCGCCTGATCACTGTTAACAGAGCCTGCCTGGATGCTCAGAATGCCTCAGGCTCAACGCCTCTCATGTTGGCCTCACTTTACGGCCATGTTCGGATCGTGATTGCCCTCATTGGCAAGAGAGCCCAGGTGGACATAAAAGACAACAAGGGGAAGATCGCGGCCAATTACGCCGAGCGAGGATCCTTTGCGACATCACTGTTCCGCCGATACAAGGCACACTTCCGACCACTTGCAACCCCCCAAGTCTTCCAGAGGAACCGGGAAGAGATATTCAAGTTTCTGTCCGACGCCTCAGCCTTTCGCAGAATCAACCAGGACCGGGTCCCTTCTCTTCCAATGCTCTACAAGGAACACAATCGGCTGATTGTGCTGAAGCCTATTGGGTTGGTTAAATACAAGCAGGACCTGACCCGCACAACCGTGGCCTATATATCCTCTGGCAGGGGTGTAAAGCCGCAAATGTGTGCGGTGAGCGGCTGGTCCCCCCACGATAACCATATACCTGGTGTTCTAGAAAACGCCACCTACACCCGACTCGTTAAGGAAGCTTGTGCTTTTCTTGGCTTCAGACTCCAACGTTTCTGGCGGGACAATGGAGAGGATGGGCTGTGGCATGCATGCCACTGCGAAAAGAAACTCACCATGTACTGGGTCATGAAGCAGATCCGATATGCCTTTGGGTCTGACGATCCGACTCGCATGCGGGACTTGAAAGGCCTCAATCTTCCCGACGACAGAAAGGTGGCGTCCATATATCTAGACCACCTGCCTTGTATGGATTGTGTTCTCTTCGTACATGAGATCTACAAGGCTACAGGTATCGATATCGTCCTCTTCACTCGCCCCTTCGTCCAGCTTGGGTCGCGCAAAGCCATCAATGGCTACTGCTCCAACTGCTCCTGCAAGGAATGCAGGGCAAGGCAGCAAGAGAAGGGACAGGATAAGAAGGAGAAACGCCTCCAGCAACCCCTCCCAAACGCTCCCAAGATTGCCGTTCCTGATAATGACAGGGCTAGCTCGAATGGGTTTCTTCATGAGCTTGGCGGGAGCGAGGACGAGGGTAGGTCTAACTATGCCCAGGACGATGAACAAGGGTTGGGCGCAGATACTGGCAGCTGCGGAGAAGATAATGCCATAGCTGCAGTGCCAACAACCTGTTGTGAAGGCGCGGGCGCAAGCGCAGATCGTCGGCCCCTTCCAAAAGCAACCCCAGGTTATTGGGTCATGCATGATGGATATTGGCTTGATTCTAACTACCGCAATCCCCTTCCTGGCGGCCCTGTCGAGCACTTGGACCCGACTAAGCCGCAGGCCAGGCCCTTGGGACAGGAGTACAGATTCGGCCGCCATCGCCAACCTTCTCTCGTCGACCAGAGCCCGGCATTCGGTTCGCCTGGCCCAGCCTCCCAACTTGCTCAGCAGGGATTCAGGCCCAGCCCATACTCGCAACGCGAGCCGTCCAGCTATCCCGACCCTGTGTCGTACCAGGACGGCCACTCGGGCTACTTCGACTCGATTGAGGTCGCGCCCCGCCGGGCAACTCCGCGCCTCTTTGGACGCCGTACCTCCAGGGCCCCACGCACCCCCTCCGTCCGCGAACTGTCGGTGGCCAGCGGCTCGTTGTACTCGCCGAGCATCCACCACGCCCGGACCTCACGGCCAAAGAGGGTCCTCCGTGACACCATTGCCAACCTCCGGCTGCAAGACCGGTACGCGTACAAGGAGCCGAAGCAGAGGCAGAAGCAGAAGCAGAAGCCGAAGCCGAAGCCGCGGTCGCAGCCAGCTCCGGAGCCGGAGCCGCAACAACAGCCACCACCACCCAACCGCCAATCCGCCTCTCCCGCTCCGCCGAAGGCCAAGCCCGCCGCCCCGCCAAAGCCCGCAACCAAAGCCGCCTCCACGCGCAAGCCAGCCAAAGCGGCCCCTCGCAAGACCAAGACCGCCACGGCCGCCGCCGCAGGAGCTGGAACGGGAACGAAACCGCCCCGCCCGAAGAAGCGACAGTCCCGCCGCCGCGCCGCCGCCGCCTCGTCGCGCGAGGGGGTCATCGCCGCCAATAGCACCCTGGTGGCCAACATCCGGTACCGCCGGCTGCGGAAGGAGGCGCAGCGGGCGGCGAGCGCGTCTGCGCCGCCGCCGCCTCCTCCAGCCGTGGTTCGGCGGCGTTCTGCAGGGGGGTTTGCCCGTGGGGAGGAGGATGAGGTTGGGGTGGTGTGATTTTTGTGGGTTGCTTGTGCTTTCGCCAGGTCTTGTCTACACTGCTGCTGCCGAATTGTTTGGGTCGGGTCGGGTTTTGCGGTGGGGGACTGTTTGGATGGGGAGAGGGGTGGTTTCTTTCTCGGAAAGAAAGATGAGGTCTTAATCGCCCCCGGGGTCCCCTCTTTTCTCACCGTCACCGTCACCGACTCGCCGAGCTACCCCTTTTATCGCCGCCATCGACTCGGCTGCAGATGAAGGACGACGCTTTACATGGCGCGAGGGGAGTGGAGCGTTTTCCTTTTTTATCTTTGTTGTACTGATGACAACGCATCTTTTCTTTTCTTTTCCTTTTTCCCACTGTTGATGGGGTTGACTGTGGATTTTGCTTTCAGGGGCTCGGCCCCCACCCGAGACCTCTCTCCGACGACACGGAGCTTGTGAAGCGGTCACGCGACTAGTATGGGCCCCGACGGGAATTGGAGGACACGGGGCCACATATGGAGATACCTGAGATTGTCAGGTAGCTTTGCTTTTGGAGATGGACCTGGTTCGGCCTAGAATGACGGTCATCCGGGTTGTAATCCATGTCCAACTCCGGCTAATGATTATTGATCATCACTGTCAAGACGACACTGAGCCCGTTAGGTACATTTCCTAGCATTAATGGTTATTGATATTCTGCGTACGAGAATACTCCCCGATGCAAGTGTTTCAAGCATCGGCGTGTCTATGCGATCAACGTTATGTACAGAATGCATCCTGGGTCCGCCCCAACCGAAAATTTTCACTCACGTCTCTCATCAGGGTATCATGCAGTCTACTGCCTTGCCAAACCAACCGAACTTTTTCCTCCGAACCGCGAACCGTCTTCAGTGACCTTGCCCTTCGCTCCCAACTTGGGGAGATCAACTCGCTCTTCTAACTGTACCGCGGACCGCATAGTCGTCCGAAGCAACAATTTCTCGAGCGCAGGCCGGGGTAATAATGCATGCCCCATTGCAGCCACGACGGTTAAGGGTTCCGTAAAGACCATAAAATAAACAACAGACTTGTCTGTGTTGCCAAATCGTGCCCCACTCAAGCCCATTTCGCCAACAAGGCCATGAGGCCGGCTCCGAGCGCGACGCAGCCGTACGCGAACAGCTGGACGCGGAGTCCCGCTTTCCGCATCTCGGGGTTGAACATGAACTCGTGCGCGAGCAGCTCGACCAGCCCCGTGTACATGAGGATGCCGCCGCTGATGGCGTCGAAGATGCCGTTCACCATCTTCATGGTGGCGCCCTCGGTGCGGATCGACTGCCGGACGCCGAGGCCGATCGCGATCGCCAGGGGCGTGCTGACGGCGTAGCCCAGGCCCAGGAGGTACGGCATCCAGCGCCTCCGGTCGGCGGGCCAGTTTGCCGTGGCGAGCCGGGCGCCGAGACCCAGGCCCTCAAAGGTCTGGTGGAAGATGATGACGACGAAGAGGATGATGAACTGGTCGCTGATGGCCAAGGTCAGGCCGATGAAGACGGAGTGGAAGACGACGCCGAACTCGAGGATGAAAATGGCCGTCAGCTGCGCGGCAAAGGCCGAGTGGCTATCGCCCTCGACGTGGTCGCGGCCGTGGCCGAGGTGGTCCTCTCCCCCAGGGGGGTAACTGACGTCGTTGGGGAGACCGGGGAGACGGTTGTTGCTCGCGGGGCCTAGGACCTGCCCACCTTTATCAGTGCTATGCGACTTGCTCTCGGAAGCAATCTGGTGGCCAGCCTCAAGATCGTTCCCACTGCTGTCACTTTGCAAGTCTGAGGAATGGTCATGTACGTGATCGTCTGAATGGGAGTGGCCGAAGCCGAAGTCAAAACGCGAGACGATCAGTTCGATGAGGAACATGACCATGACCGTCATCAAGCCGATACCCATGGCCCAGTCGTAGTCGGGGAGGATATTGCCCAGGCAAGGATCACCGAGAGCTTCCTGGGCTGGTGAGAGAAGGTGCATCCAAGCGGTAGCCAAGATGACACCCGAACCGAAGTACTTCGCGACAAAGAAGCACAGCTTCGGAACCTTCATTCGGGAGCTGCGGGCAAGCCATACGGGCAAGACTGCGCCAATGAGGGAGCCGATCAAGATGACGAAGATGGATGCTACACGCAGGCCGAAGTAGCTCATGTCGTTCTCGCCAACTTCGCACTCGGGAACGACGTCGTCATCGTTGGCGCGCGGCGCAAGCAGCGCCTTGAACGAATCCATGGCGAACGTGTGGTCAAGCATTACGAGCTTGACAGAAGCCGGTGGCTCTAAATTTTTGCTGAAGACTTTTGAAGAGACACCAACCAACACAGGCAAATCAAGAAATAGGCTGGAAAGAAGAGTGTCGCCTCCCGAGGGTGCCGTTTGCTTGGTCTGGGACTGGTGGATGATACACGAACGACTGGAGCGGGAAGTCAGTGACATGCCGGACGGCGGGCAGAGCGTGTTAATATGTGGACAGATTGCACCCCTGATCAATAAAAAGAGCCGCTCCATCCAAAAAAAAAAAGAATGGAAAGCAATTTGTCAAGAGTGGGAGGGCTGCAGCGAACTATCGAGGACCCTGATGGCCAAGACCAGTGTACCTGGTATGATGTGACAGGGGAGGATATCCAAACAAATAACAGAATTAGGTAGAAACAAGCATTCAGAGACCAGAAAAAGTATCGGGAGGAGAGGAAACAAGCATCGAGGGACATGGGGAGGGGCGTGGGAGGAGGGTACCAAGGAGTGTTCGAGCCAGCCCCTTGATCATGGACCCTCCCGTTTGCTGCAGCTGGAAAAGAACGTTGCTGAACATACCCAGATCAAGTTAAGTCCAATCACTACCCGAGTTCTAGAAATAATGGGGCTTCCTTTCAACGCCGTTCTTGGACTTTGTTTGCAACGAGTGGTGATGTAAGTCCGTTTGTGGGAGGCTGGTCGTCGATTCGTGTCCGGTCACTCCGGCGGCTCGAGACTGCGATGCGGCCTGCGCGGGATATAAAATTACGGCGGAGACTCCTGTCCAGGTAATATTGGAATGCCGTTCGTGATGATACGGTCGTATACGAAATAACATGAAGGAAGAAACGTGGGTAGAGCGGCCGGCCTGCGTAGCGTGAACAAGGTTGGCTCGGTGGGAGTTATGGAGTTATACGCTTGATGGAAGATGACAGGCGAGGACAAGATCACCCAGGCGGTAATTCACGTATAATGTGTCCAAAGGTGAAGAAGATGCCAGCCCCGTCAGCTAACGGGAAACACTTCCAGGCGTAGAGGTTGTGGGATGGTGGAAGGAGAGGATGAGCCCACGGTTGAGGCGCCGTTCCGAAGAGGGAAGCTTGAGAACCTTGTTGGCCAGCGGCAGCACCGGCCCAATCAATCAATGATACTCACCTAGGTACTATAAAGCATTTTTTTGCTTCTACTACGTAGTAGGTGGGGCGTCGCTGACCATGCGCTATATAACACTTCCAAGCCCGACATCAGATTGTGAGCATCATCGCCATATTACCCTGCAGCAGCTCGCTCGTTTTCTCATCGAGTTTCTCTCAAGTCATATATATAACCATCTTCTCATCGCCCTGACAGAATCTTAATCGCCTAGACATGGCAGCCCCAACAGCTCAAGTCAATCAATCCTTTTCTACCCCTGTTTCAGGTGCTGTGGTCATTGAACAAACCCTCAGATCCATCAGCCTCAATCGCTTTCCCCCACTGCGAGAATTCTGATTTGGACATGCGTGAGGAATTTCCTTGATTTCCATTGGCCATGCGACGGAAAAGCCGGGGAGGCCCTTGTAAAGTGAGGCACATAAGTGCCCATCAAGGTTCTCATGTCCATCAGGGTTCTCAAGCCACAGAGTCCCACATGAATCAAAACCCCCACCTTCCAAAACCAGCCTCTCTTTAAAAACCAGGGCTCACTCAGTCTCTGACGTATCTGTTTGAACGGCGAGGAGGCCGTGACATTAAAAGCTTTTGCGAGTGACTCCGCGACGGCGACCCATGAAAGTGTCTCTCGCTCCACCAGCTGGTAGGCTCAGGATGGGTAGGTACCGTGGTGTGCTTCCTAGTCTGGTCGTAGACGTGTAATAGGGAAGCAAACGCATTTTGCCGTTCAATTCACTCACTCCTGGCCACCACCAATCAAACAGCAGGACCCGAGCACCAAGTTGCCTGCGCCGTGTGGAAGTAGAAGGGGGCCGTTTTGAGAAACGTGGCACATTCTCTCCGATACCTCGATGAATCTTTCTACTGTAGTGTACCTGCGAGTAGGGTCTCGTCTCGCATGGTAGTGACTGGGTGCCGGTTTGCCGGGTGATGACCAGTTCCATGGCAAATGGTTTAGGTTGCGACCACCCTCTCCGGGATCACTCGATTACCGGTCGATGCAGCGCGAGAGGCGGGAGGAGTAGCAGTGGCACGAAACCCAGATCATGTCCGTCCGGGTACCTGGCATATCCCGCATCACGACGAGTACTGGATCTGGAGCCCGACTGTCCGGAATGCCTGGTCCAGCCTATGCAAGTCGATGCCGGTTCCGAGGCTGAAGATTAGCGACTGGACGCGACCCTCCCACAGGAGCCCGATCCTCAGATTCTGGTCGATCCTCGCTTTCAACAGACCCAGATATTCGCCCTCATCTCCGACGCTGGCCGGCGCGGCCGCCTCGGCCTCCGGTTCGTCCAATCGCCACTCCAGTTTCGCCTGGAAACTCCTCTCCTTCCTCTTCGGTCGTTCCTCTCGATGGGGTTGCGGTGGGGTCGGGTCGGGTTCAACTCCGAGAAGGAATCCGCCAGGTCGTCTTTTGCTCCACAGCTCCATGCCCACTTTCCAATCGCTCTCATAACTATAGACGTTGAAGTTCATACTGGTCGCCAACGAGCAGTATTGCCGGGTGTGTACCGCGTAGGTGGCACTGATGTTGCCCATGAGCGGATTGATCGTCAGCGTTGCCGTAAGCGGTGTTCCCCGGTGGGCCGGCAGAGTAGCGAAGCGTGCCCCCAACGACATGCCTCCAGACTTGTTCAAGGTCCCGTAGTAGAGCTCTCCGCCGACACTGAACCGGCCATAGATCCTCTCCCGCTCTACGGCGTTGCCGTTTTCTGCGGCCTCGCCAGCTCCCGGTGCCGGAGAGCCCGTCGGTGAGGCATCTCCGCCGAAATTGTAGAGGCCTCGCAGCCCGAGCAAACCGCCATCTGTCGAAGCCAATCCTTCCACGCCGAAATTCCCTTGGTCGTATTGCGTCCACGCCAGTATTGTGCCGCCATTCCGCAGCGACCCGTCGCTCACGGCGGCGATCTGCACCTGCAACGCCGGCGTGAGCCTCTTGATGAGGGATGCCTCGAGGGTTGACTGCGGGAGGTACAAGCGGCCGTAGAGCAGGTAATTTCCATCAAGGAGTTCCCGCAAGCCACGACTCCCGCCCACCGGGGCGCCGGTGCCGCCCCCAGGCGAACCCGCCGAGGTCGGCGGGCTCTGCGAATCGGGGACCCCGCCGCCGTCCGACCGCCACGGAGAAGACCAGGCCTGCTGCTTGCGGACGCCCAGCGGGTCGCTCAGTTGGCGGTACGAGCGCAGGAGCGCGGGGAGCGGGATCCGGTCAGACCGCGCGACGACGTCTCGGAGGGGCGTCGAGCTGTATAGGTAGGCGAGGGAGCCGTCGACGGCACCCAGGGTCCCGAGCTGGTAGCTTGTCGCGAATTTCGGGGTCGCGAGAGACGAGAGCGTGAAGCTGAGGCCGTGGGGGATGTCGAAATTGAGGAGTTCTGGGGGGCGCACAGAGTGAGATTGTGTTCCGCTGGGGTAGAGATCTTTGCAAACAGACAAGCTGGGGAACAAATGGGATGTCTCTTGGTCTTACCGAGTGCTGTCGCGTTCAGCTCCGAGTAGCTGTTGTCTCTGTTCCAGCCCGTCGCTCCGAAGAAGGAGGAGAAAATGTGATCCACAAACTGGCGCATCTTCTCGAGAATGACCCAATGCTTACCCGGGGCAAGCAAGCCCTGTTACCTTGCGATTATCATTTCACAAAAGTAAGCAAGTAAGTGGCGGGAGGCTACCCATGTCTGTCTTGAGCAAAAAGCTCGAGCCTATCACCGATCGCATGGGTCTGCTCGTGGGTCCGTGCACTTGAAGATAAATTGGTAGTGTCGGGCACTTAAAAGGTAACGAATCATGGATATTACGAGTCTCAACGAACAGTCCCAGAAGAAGAAACACTCCGATTTGACCTTGTTACTATAGAGAAACCCTTCAGACAACTTCGGGCCCAGGCTGGGCAACCTCAAGAACGCTAGCAGAAACCTCGTCTTTCTTGGCGTCCTCACTGAAGGTCTCCCGCCCATCCGCAAAGACTTGGTCGAAGTCGTACTCGCACCACCGAATATTGGGGTTCAAGCCAGCAAACTTCCACTCGCCGTCAACCTTGCGGTAATAGTGGGTGTTGTGGCTGTGGGCGTGCCCCTTGACGGCGACCTCGGACAGGGTGACGTCGGTGTACTTCTGGTGGGGGACGCGGAGCTGGTGGTAGCCGATGACCTCGGTGTCCGACACCTTCTCCCACTTGGACGCGCCACCGATGAAGTGCTGCGTCCGGAGGAGCGGGTTGCCCAGCACCTTCTTGTCCGAGATCATGGTGATGAACTCCTCGGCGGGCATGGCCTCCCAGAGCTTGCCGAGGAAGGAGCGGTAGTCGATCTGCAAGCTCGGGGAGCCCCTTGGTCAGTCGTGTTGCTTGCCTGGCAGGAATGAAAGCTGTGGGCATTATGCAACTTACCCGAAGAGTCGGGGCGATGCATTTCCTTAGCCGGTCCCAGTCCTTGGAATCGTAGCTGTCCGCCCACTCGAAGGCGGCAGCACTGAGGCCGAGGAAATCTGTCCCTTGTAAGTTTCTCTGCCTTTGCTTTTCACAATCATTCAGTATGTGACGCACCCTCGAAGGTGATCTGGCCAGTCGGAGCAGAAGCCATTGCGTATCTCGTCTTTGCGATCCTCGGTGATGTTTAAGTTGGTTTTACGTCGGGCAGCTGAGTACGGGGCTGGGCTGGCTGAGACTGAGTGCAAAGGCAGGTAGACCAAAAAAAGTCTCGAGGTTCCAACTTGTTCTTATCTTTCTTCATCTTGAATCGCTTTCGGACTGTCGCCAGACCCAGAGCGCCGGTAAAAGTGATGCCACATTCCGGACGCCCGATGCGGAGTTTCGGAGTACGTGGGGATGTGCGGGCGTGCCACACACAACAAGCCCCTCGAGATTTTGGCCGTGATCCTTGATCCTCCTCATTAAGTATTGTCATGATTTTCCCAATACGTCATCTACTTGAAGATTCTACTGGAATTGAGGGCATGAATAAATACACAGACTGCCTAACTGCCCGGCTGACCGTCTGTCTTACACTCAGCTCTATCGCTGCACCCGCACTGCGGCGGGGCTGGCAACACGCCGGATTCGGGTCTCGACCGTTGGACAGAGGGTCTAGCGGGCCAACAGCCACCCTCGCATACACCCAATAGAACAAGACCCAGTACAGCGGTTATGCCGTGCGCAGCTCATGCATGCACTTTACAACACCATCCACGTCCGGTTCCCGTCCGTTCTCTGTGGGCTAGTGAGCCCAGTTGGCGTCCGATCTCCTCGAGACCCTGTGTCGAGGTAATCATTTGTCCATTTATCCCGCTTTCCCGCTGCGGTACTAGTGGCATCCGGCCGTGTCATAGAGTCCAGTCATCGTCAGTGTCTTCGAGGTCTTCCTCAACAATAAAAGAATCGTCCTCATCGTCCATGTCTTCGTCCATGTACTGGTCCCCATCTTCTTCTTCCTCTTCTTCCTCTGCATCCACGTCCACCTCCGGCACTTCGACGCGCTTTCCAGAGCGAAGTCTTAAAGACCGTGTTGCAATTGATTGCACAGCTGCTTTTGCAACTGCTTTTCCGGCTGCTCTCCTGGCTGCTCTCCTAGTTGTTCTCCTTGCCGCTTTCTTGGCTCGTTTCTCGTCTGCATTCCCAGCCTCCTCCTCCTTCTCGGTGTGGTCCTTCTTGTCCTTTCGCATGCGAACCAAAGGGGCGTCCGACTCGCGCCCCCATTGCAGCGCAACCTTGTTGATTTCCCTGGCGATCTTCCGCCTGGCAGCATGGCGGGGCATCCCGTCCTTCAACAAGCCATGGTACGGGGTATGTCCGTGCCGTATGTGCGCCAGCACCGCCAGCCGCACCTTCGCCTCCATCTCGAGCCTCCCGGTCCTCCCGACCCTCCGACTCCGCTTCTCGAGCGTCCGCCTCAGGATCGCCGGCACCTCGGCCTTGGGGATGTTCGGGAACAGGCCCAGCATGGCCTCCTCGAAGGTCCGCTCCGCGACCTCGTCGCGGCTGCGCACGACCGCCGCGCGCGCCGCGGCGGTGGCCTGCGAGTCGGCCAGGACGGCCTCGTGGATGGCGCCCGGGCAGCGCAGGCCCAGCTGCTTCTTCCTGTCCTCGCTGGTCACCACGTATAGGGTCGAGCCCGCGGCGTGGGTCCGTCGGCGGACGTTGGCCGTGATGTAGACGTCGCCCTTGGGCACGAACACGTAGCCGTTGGGCATGGGGCTCCTCTGGCGCACTGCGGGCTCGAGGTGGCCCGCCGCCATCGTTGAGTGCTTGTCCGGAGTGGCTAGTGCTGTGGTAGAAGCTGCACGATGGGTCCTTGGTTGGGTTGAACGGCCGAACTCGCACCCCGGCGCGAGTGGCGAGATAAACAGAAGGCGAGTCGGCCCTTATTATTTACTCGTAGCTTCACCGTGGGAATTATGGCAGAATGCATGGAGTCACAGTTGAGGCAAACGGCTCGCCGTCCTGTTTTGTTCCCATCCGCGCGATCAAAGAGCTGCCGAGCCGTCTGTTATCTGTCATGTTGTTCTTGTTCGGTAGTCCCGTCTTTGTCTTGCGGGACGAAACAATCAACATTGGCCTGACGGGGCCAGGCAGCTCCCAACCAACGCATGCTTTCGAACGCGAGATGAAAGCGAGGTGGAAGAGACTCAATTGGGCCTCCATTCAGCCCAAAACACACGGACGGGAATATCTTTTTCCCAAGCCTGCCCCTGCCCACTCCACTTCCAAGGTTGGCGATAATTGTTTCTTGCAGGGCGACCCCAGACTCTAAATCGCTGAACCAAATGGGTGGAATTGCAGTTTCATTACTGAACCCGAAACATGGAGGATACGATGTTAAAGGAAGCAGAAGAGTTCTTGCTTAGACACATCAATGCCCCGTGCGAAAGCAGCCTTCGACCAAGTGTGAGGCAGAGCAGGTAATTCCTCGAGCATGGCAGCAATCATTTCATACAAGACGTCGTTCCGTCACGGACGGCGTCGTGGCCAGCCATTGCTCCTCCGTCATTTCCGGCCTCGCACAGCCCATTCTCAGAGAGAGAAGTCCTTCAACTTCTCTGTCGCAATCCCCAAGGCCGTCTTCTCATCCTCATCCAGTAGGCCCAGCGCCTGACGCCGCGTCGGGGCGTCGGGGTCGAAGTAAGGCTTCTCCGCCAGCGACGTGACGCGGGTCCCGTGCCTGGGATGCTTGCCGCCATAGTCCCAGCTCGCGTTGTGGATGGTGATTCTTCCCCCCTCGTCAGCAAAAAAGGGCGATCAGGGTGTACGGGACTGACTCGTCTCACCTGTTATCCCACAACGCGCTCGTGCCCGGCGTCCACTTGAAGCGCACCTGGATGTCGACATTCCGCTCGTACACGTCGTACAGGTAGTTGAGGATGAGATCGCTCTCGGCCCTGTCCAGCCCGACGATGCGGTCCGTCATGGCGCGGTTGACCCACAGGGCCCTCCAGCCCGTCGCCGGGTGGACGCGGACGAGCGGGTGCGTCCGCTCGATGAACCTGGGCCCGGCCGTAGGGTCGTCGCGGTCGAGGTACGGATGCGCCGACCGGTAGATGGCCTGCTTGCCGTCGACGAATTTGCGGAACTCGGGCGACAGCTTCTCGTAGGCGCTGTACCCGCTCGCCCACAGCGTGTCGCCGCCGATGGGCGGCACCGTGTCGTTGTGCAGGTGCGTGATCCCCGCCGGCTGCCGCTCGTGCACGAGGTCCGTGTGCCACCGCGATGCGCCGCCCGGCTTGCGGAAGCTGGCGGGGAACTCGGTGGCCTGGAGGTCGGGCCAGATCACCGTCACGCCCAGGACGCCGGGGACTTGAGGGACTTGGGGCTGGCGGGGATGGGGTCAGCATTTTTCAAGGCTTTTCCGAGAAGGGGGAGAGGGGGAAACCCCAATTACGTGAATCTCAACTTCCCCGTACCACTCGCCCAGCTCTTTCTGCTGCTGCGGGGTGATGTCTTGGTCCCTGAAAAAGACCACGCTACGCTCGGCTATGAGAAGAGCCAGCTCGTCTTTTTGCTCGGGCGTGAGGTCCTTGAGCTGGAGGCCCTCGATCTCGGTGCCGATGTGCGTGGTCAGGTCGGTGACCTTGGTCGCGGCGGATAAGAGGTTCTTCTTCGACTTGTCCGCCCGCGCCCCTGCATCCTCGTGGACTCGCTCCACGTCGCGGATCTTGTACGCGTCCTGTAAATAGAGGGGCCGCGACGGCCGGTAGGGATATCCTTGAGACAGGTCGATCCCGGCCTTCTCCAGCCTTGCGCGGGCTGGCTCCGGGAGGCCGAGCTTGTCCTTCCTTGGCTCCGCGACGTCAGTGATGGATGAATCGATTGGAGCGGGGGCCATTGTGACGTATGTTCGCAGAGGTGTTCGTGTTCCGGGAGAGTTGAGATGTTGTCAGGCCAGTATCATCGACGTTGATGTCTCAGCTTTGCCAGCTTTGCTTTGTTCACGAGCTGATCTGGTGGACTTAAAAAGCTAGCAACGGCATCGGGCGTGGTGCATATCTCTATCTTGCCCCGTCTCCATCCCGTATGGTGGTCTTCACGGGGTCAGTGCTTACCAACCAAGGGCGCGTTGTGTCATCGATGGCAGAATATGCAGCGCGTATTACGATGGAATCCTAACGGCGGCTCTAATAAGCTCACAAGAGAGTTCATGCGGGGCTCCATCAACAGTTGTTGAAGGTTGGTGCAGATGCAGTTGCGCGATACGTTGGAACGATTGTGTGCTCGGTCATCGCAACACCCTTTCGCTCCGCCGCAGTGTCACCCGGGAGATACGGGTGTCAGCAGAAAGTAATATCACATCTCCAATCTGACGACAACCCGACCCAGTCTGGCAATCGAGCTGTTGACCCCACGGATCCGGCCGCAGCTTCAATCGTTAATCGGGCAATCATCACTGCAGCCTGCCAGCCACCTCTCCGAACCACGCAGGGCTTGTCAACGGTTATTTCCTATCGAGGACACCCCCGATAGCACGCAATTGATATCGAACCGAAAGTTGGGGGGCGGGGGATTGGGGGTCAATCGCCCGCAGATGATGATATTTGACGATGACTGGGATTTCATGCTGCACGGTCACCGCGGAGGTTGGATCATCCAACGGGCCCAGCCTCGAACATATAAAATTGGCATTCGTATACAACTAAGAATAGTCAAGACTCACATCGACATCCACGACCGTGAGCAACAGCAACAGCAACTCCCGTCTCTGACCTAAGCCTGTTACACCCACCCGCCCGGCGCAATGGCTATTAGCAGTGGCGACGACAAGCATCTGGTTTTGGAGGGTCCCGCACACCCAATACCCTCCTCATCCGAGAGTGTCGCTGAAGGAGTGACAAGGGCAGATCAATTGGTGCAGGCCGAGCCCAAGGCAACTTGGAAATCCTATCTATGGGATACCCTCGACAAGTCGCCCGAGGAGCGCAAATTCTTGTTCAAGCTCGACGCTGTTCTCCTGACGTTTGCCTCTCTGGGATACTTCATCAAGTACCTTGACCAGATCAACATCAACAACGCCTTCGTCTCGGGCATGAAGGAGGACCTGAACCTCTTCGGCAACGAGCTCAACTACATGCAGACATGCTGGACCGTCGGATATGTCATTGGCGAGATCCCAAGGTGAGCAGGACGGCGGGGAGATGTCCAGTTGTAAATGATTTACCCCAGAAGCCAAGGGCCTGAGCCTGACAGAAGGAAACTTTGTTAATAGCAACCTCCTTCTGACTCGGATCCGCCCGTCAATCTGGATTCCCGCGTGCGAAGTGACTTGGGCCGTCCTGACCATCCTTCTGGCCAAGTGCACCAACGTGACGCAGATCTACGTTCTCCGCTTCTTCATCGGGCTGGCGGAGAGCGCCTTCTATCCGGGGATGCAGTACATCATCGGGTCCTGGTACCGCAAGGACGAGCTGGCGAAGAGGTCGTGCATCTTCCACGCGAGCAGCTCCATCGGGACCATGTTCTCGGGCTACCTGATGGCCGCCGTGTACCACCTCGACGGCCGCAACGGCTTCCGCGGTTGGCAGTGGCTGTTCATCGTCGACACCGTCATCTCACTCCCCATCGCCGTGGCCGGCTTCTTTATCCTCCCGGACCTGCCCGAGATCACCCGGGCCTGGTACTTCTCGCCCGAGGAGGTGGCCCTCGCCCGGAGGCGCATGGAGCTCGAGGGCCGCGCCAACCGCGCGCCGTACACCCGGTCAAAATTCCGCAACATCTTCACCAGCTGGCACATCTACACCCTGACGGCCCTGTACATCTTCTTCAACAACGGCGCGGGCACCGGTACTCAGCCCGCCTTTCAGCTGTGGCTCAAGTCCAAGGGGTACAGCGTCACGGCGATCAACACCTTCCCGACCATCACGGCGGCCATCTCCGTCATCTCGACCCTGATCTACGCCTGGTCCTCGGACTCGGTCTTCCGCGGCGCGAGGTGGCCGCCCATCATCTTCGCCGGCTGCGTCAACATCATCGCCAACGCCAGCCTCGCCGCCTGGGACATCCCCGACGCCTGGAAGTGGGCATCCTTCCTGCTGACGGGCTTCATCGCGGGGGTCAGCGGGCTCACCTTCGCGTGGGCCCACGAGATCTGCGCCGGTGACAACGAGGAGCGCGCCCTCGTCACGGCGAGCATGAACGAGATGGCCTACGTCGTCCAGGCCTGGCTGCCGCTGCTCATCTGGCAGCAGGTCGAGGCCCCGGTCTACAGGAAGGGGTACTCGACCATGGTCGCCCTGTCCGCCGCCATGGTCGCGACGGCGCTTCTTATAAGGCATCTGCAGCAGAGGGAGAGGAAGGAGAAGACGCGGTCTGTGGAGAGCATCGACTGATCACAGCGGCTGATCCAAACCTCGCGTAGATGGTTGAAGGGCAGCTCATGCAGAGACAGGGCAAAATCTAGGATTAGACAGCGAGCCTACACCATACTATTATGTATTTTGCGATTAACTGTCGTGCCTACTCAGTTGGGGGGGAGGCTTCCTGAGTCCGGGACATCCGGACTGAAGTGATATTCAGGTTCAAATCTACGCCATATGTTGCTCCTAGCTGGAGAATGAGCGATATGCAGCGTCGAAGACGCAAACCGCCTTAATGTAGTACCTGCCGCAATATTTTGCTATTTCCGTCCATTCCGGGCTGGCACCTGCAGACAAAGGATGACCAACGCTATGCGCAATAGCTGGTCACGGATGGCGTGCTCACTTGCATCTGGCTATTATTAATGGAGGGGGATCTGGAGAGCTGGTCGTCCCCAGGATATATCACTCGACCATTACAGTGCAATTCAGGGAGGGATATACGTAAAGGAGAAATACAGTGACACGGACCGTCTGGTTGGGGTTTGGATTGCATTTACTCGACTGCCTTCTCGACCCTATCAACTACTTCTGGACAGGCAGACGGATTTGCAAACTTTCCGATCCAATGTCTGCGTCGTCTCCAAGCACACATGTCACGTTTGGACCGGGATCAAGGGTCGCAGTGGTGGGAGCGGGGATTAGCGGCGTGACTGCCGCCGGCCACCTCCTCAAGCAGGGGCTGTCCGTTACCGTATTTGAGCGGTCAAGCATTGCGGGAGGGGTCTGGCATTTCGACGAGCGAGTCACCGAGGACCCATCCTACCCGAGTGAGACTCCGTCGGCCGGGGATTACAAGCTCTCCTCGCCTGGCCAGTATGCCTACAGGACACCGCCCCCGGAGTCCCCCGGGGAGAGTTCGGACCAGCCGCCATCAAAGAGCCCATTGACAGGCGACGCCCTCGAGGTACATTTCTCGCCGCCCGGGCCCTGTTACGCCGGCCTGACAAACAACGTCCCCACGAGCTTGATGGTCAGCGCCCTGAGTCCGTGGCCGGAGGGGACCGAGGAGAACACGACGCAGAACAACATTGAGGGTTATGTCCAGATGCTCGCCCGTGACCACTCCGTCAACGACGTTACCCATTACAACACGCGGGTCGACGAGGTGAGTAAGTCGGAAGACGGGAAGACGTGGACGGTGCGGACCATCTCGCTCGAGAAGCGGAACGGAGCCTCTCAGCTGGTTGAAAAATACTGGGAGTTCGACTCGGTGGTCCTTGCCTCTGGGCATTACAACCTGCCTCGAGTGCCCGATACGCCAGGGCTGAAGGAGTGGAAGTCGGCCTTCAAGGAAAGGGTGATCCACTCGAAACAGTACCGCAAGCCGGAAAATTATGCCGGGAAGAACCTCTTGGTTATTGGCGCCGGAGTCTCGTCGCTGGATATATGTCGAGAGTTGGACGGGATCGCCAACAGGATCTACCAGAGCGTTCGAGGGGGGTCATATGATCTCCCAGCAACTCTCTTGCCAGCCAACTCGGAGCGCGTGACCGAGGTGGCGAGCTACGTCTTTGACAGCGAGGATCCGGCGGGGCAGTCGCTGTCCTCCGAGGACCCCATTCCCGGCACCGTCGTCCTCAATGATGGGCGGGTCTTGACCGACATTCACTACGTGATAGTAGCAACGGGCTATATAATCTCGTATCCCTTCCTGCAGCAACTCCACTCGGACTCGACCCCCGCCGCCGAAGCCGGACCAAACCTGCTGGTCACTGCCGAGGGTGACATGACTCACAATCTCCACAAGGACATCTTCTATATCGAGGACCCATCCCTGGCTTTCGTCGGCGTGCCGTACCACATCGCGACGTTCTCGCTCTTCGACTTCCAGTCCCAGATCATCGCGCGGGTGTTCGCGGGGCAGGCGCACCTCCCGCCTCGGGAGGAGATGCGGGAGGAGTACGAAGGGCGCATCCGCGATCGGGGAGTCGGCAGGGGGTTCCACAGCCTTCGCGGCTCCGGGGACGAGATCGCTTACGTCAAGGGGCTGGTCGATTGGGTTAACAGGGACCTCGAGGCAGCCGGGGTCGCTCCTATGAAAGGGCACACGCAGAAGTGGGTGGAGGGGTACTGGGAGATGAAGGCACGGCTGAAGAAGATATGGGATTTCGACGGCTGATGATGGTCCGTCTTGCGGGGGCAGAGCCTGTAACATGTGTGTGGGTGAATCCCGCCGGATAGAGAGATTATGACCCCCAATCAAGGACGAAGATGTTGGACATGGAGTGATTCGGGAGAGCTCCTGTTTACAGGCTCGCTCAGCTAATAGTAGAGTAGTGTCCTAGGTAGCTTCTACAAGCTCCCCACGTCAAAATCGCTGCTGACTTGCTGGTCACTCAAAATTCAGAATATCTCGAGACGCAATCTAAGAAAAAAGTATCCCATGCTTAGCAGCAGAAGTTCCCAATACCCCTGAAATGAAATCGGGGTCATATTCGACCGTGTGACTTCATGTGTGGAACACGGCCCCTCATCCTTGAGGCAGCAGGCTGGCGATCATCGTTGTCGTCACCTCTAGCTGCCTATCGTTATGCCTCCCCGCACAAACAAACCCTCAACGATTAATATTGCCTCAATGGCTGCTACTCACAACCTCCTGCTCGGCTCTTCCAATTTTCACAACTTGACTCTCGCACAGCAGGTTCTTACTATCAGATCTCAACGTTGAATTCGACAAAGCACGATTCCGCAAGTAAACACTAGCAGGATGAAGATTCTCGTTCTCGGAGGCACCCAATTCGTCGGTCGAGCCGCAGTCGCCGAAGCCGTGTCTCGCGGCCACGAAGTCACGACCCTGAACCGCGGGACCAGGGCCCCCGAGGAGGGCGTGACCGCCCTCGTCGGCGATCGTCTAGCGCCAGACGGCCTGCGAGCCCTCGAGGGCAGGGCCTTCGACACCGTCATCGACACCTGGCCCCGCGACGCCGCCGCCGTCGAGACGGCCGTCGACGCCCTCCGCGGGCGCATCGGCCAGTTCATCTACGTCTCGAGCATCAGCGTCTACCTTCCGGACGACGACCCCCACTTTACCGAGGACTCGCCCGTCCTGGACCCAGACACCAGCGACTTCAGGTACGGCGCCGACAAGCGCCGCGGCGAGCTCGCCGCCCAGGCGTCCGGCGTCCCCACCGTCATCGCGCGGCCCGGGCTGATCCTGGGCCCGCACGAGGGCGCCAAGGGGCGGATCCCGTGGTGGCTGAACCGGATGCTCAGAGGCGGGCCCACGCTGGCCCCCGGGCCGCCGGACTCGCCGCTGCAGTTCATCGACCCGCGGGACCTCGCGCGGTTCCTGGTCGACGCGGCCGAGGCCCGCGGAGGGGGCGTCTACAACACGCTGAGCCGGCCCGGCCACTCGACCATGCGGGAGCTGCTTGAGACGTGCAGTGCCGTGACGGGCGGGCGGGCGGAGCTGAGGTGGGTGGATCCCGAGACGGTCCTCGCTAAGGGTATTCTGCCGTGGACGGAGATGCCTGTCTGGATGCCGCCTGGGAAGAAGCACGGGTACTGCTTCAATGTGGATGTCACGAAGGCTTTTGAGGCAGGGCTGCGCGTCAGGCCGGCGATGGAGACGATTGTGGATACGTGGGAGTGGTTGAGGGGCATGGATGAGTCTTCCGAATCTAGCACTTATGGCCTCGGAGACCTGGGCTTGGATCCTGAGAAGGAAATGGCTGCGTTGGAGTGAACGGCACAGGAAGCGGTCAGGGCTCAGGGGTTATCCAGGCATTGAGATTAAACTGCCCTTCTAAGTATGTTGAGTTTTAGTCAACTTCATATATGTCGCAAATGCGTGTGTACCATGAGCGACGCTGGAAAAGTTATATTCATTAATTTGCCTACAAAAGGTTGGAGAGGTAACAACGACAGTTGAGTCAAGAGCGATGAAGGTCACGTTACCACTAGCTTTTCAGGACACAGAGAGAGAGAGAGAGATTGACTATTTCAGTCTGCGTGGATTATCCATTTCCCTAAATCCTTCTCAACTCGAGTCGACCAGTAAGGTGGTGGGTGGAACAGGGTGGAACAGGCGACCGGAACCTCCGGGATAATTATCGTGAGTTGAGATCTATAGGCACTTGCGAATTGGTGCTATTTAATTAACAATGGGATCAGCCATGGCCGAACACGCGTGTGAAATGAACCTCTCTTTCAATCACAGGAGTTTACAGATAATTACTAGGTTTCAAGGGAAGTCCGTGGTGCTGTCGTGGCCTAACTACGTAGCTCCCTTAACATATCATTGTGTTTTGTATGTAGAATAAGTATGCGCGTTTCTTGCCAAGGCAAGTTGCCTCGGGTATACTCTATCAAAATAGAGAGACATCTATCTAGGTAGGTTACAGAAACCTTGATCCAGGGACAGCGATATGCCGATGCGCTAGCAAGACAATCCCCGCATGCACACCTTCTCCGCAGGTCTGGAGTTACGGTAGTCTATAACGAACCAAAAATTGCCGAGTGGGACAGCATGATAAACATGGATAGACCCCCGGAATTTCCTCAGCGTTTCTCACAGCAAAGTTTAAATTAAAACCCACGTGTGATCTGCGTTCCGAGAAGCAACTATCCGAACCGAAAGAGAGACGGAGAAGGAAAGGGAACAGAAGAAACGGGAAAAGTAGGACAAGGCACAATGTCGCAACCTTCAAGCCAGAACGGCGTCTCATACCCGAGGCAACCGCAACTCGTATACATCGACGGGAAATACCAGAACAGCTCAGATGGGGCGACATTCCCGGTCAAGAACCCGATGACGGGGGAGACCATATACGACTGTGCCTCGGCGACTGTCGACGACTACTCGGCGGCAATCGAAAAGGCGCATACGGCGTACCAGTCGTGGTCCAAGACAGGCCCGTCGAAAAGGAGACAGATCTTCCTCAAGGCTGCCGACATCATCGAGACATATCTCAACGGTGACGCTCCCGAGATACTGTCGGCCGAGGTGTCGGCAACCAAGCCGTGGGTCAGGCTCAACATCCACGCCACCGCGGGCACTTTCAGGGAGACTGCGGGTCTGGCCACCCACATCAAGGGAGAAGTCATCCCTGCCGACAGGCCGGGAACTACCATCCTTGTGGAGAGGCAGGCCGTGGGGGTCGTGCTTGCGATTAGCCCCTGGAATGCTCCGGTGAGTCTCCCCTGTCGCGACTAAGAAGTAGTTAAATATTGGGATTTATTAACAAAATCTCGCCAGATGAACCTGACAGCTCGGGCAATAGCATGCCCCTTGATGTGCGGCAACACCATTGTGTTGAAGCCCTCAGAGTTCAGCCCCAAGAGCCAGGACCTAGTTGTGCGAGCCCTGATGGAGGCCGGCCTCCCAGCCGGTTGCTTGAACTTCCTTCCTACCAGCCGCGAGGCTTCGCCCTCCGTTACCGAGTTCGCCGTCAAGCACCCCAAGATCCTGCGGGTGAACTTCACGGGCGGCGACCGGGTCGGGAGGATCATTGCCGGCTGGGCAGCCACCTGTCTGAAGCAGTGCGTGTTTGAACTCGGAGGCAAGGCACCCGTCATAGTCCTGGAGGACGCCCTCATCGACGACGCTGTCGAGGCCATCGTCTTCGGCGCCCTCTCCAACAGCGGCCAGATCTGCATGTCCACGGAGCGGGTTATCGTCCACAAATCCATCAGCGCGGCCTTCAAGGCGTCGCTGCTGGAGAAGGTGCGCAAACTCAGGTATGGCAACCATCTGACCGACCCGGATGTCTCCCTTTCCGGGCTGTTCACGCCGGAATCCGCCGCCCGCGTCCTGGACTTGATCAAGAGCGCCGTGGATGGCGGCGCAACGCTTCTGACGGGCGACATGGAGATCACCGGGCCTAACAAGACGATCCTGGCGCCTCATGTGCTCGAGGGCGTCAAGCCCGGCATGGATGTGTACAGCCATGAGACCTTCGGCCCCATCATTATTCTTTCCGAGTTCGAGACCGACGAGGAGGCCATTGCCTCGGCCAACGACAGCGATTTCTCGCTGTGTGCCAGTGTCTTCTCGAGGGACATCATGCGCGCCCTCGACGTAGCCAGGGCGGTCAGGGCAGGGAGCTGCCACGTCAACGGGCCGACCGTCTACGTCGAGGCCACGCTGCCCAACGGAGGAACGGGTGGTGGTAGCGGGTATGGGCGGTTTGGCGGAGTCGCTGGGGTCGAAGCGTTCACTGAGCGGAAGATTCTCACCTTGGCAAAGCCTGGCATGAAGTATGCATTTTAGTGTATAGGGGGTAAATACAATACTGCACACTGAGTTTAGTACTTGGTAGTAATTATCTTGTACTTCAGGAGAACATAGAATACGTCCCACTTTACTAGAAACCATGTAAGTCTCTCAAAGTTGCTGGGGAGACTCAAAATATCCATAGCTTGCAAACATCTCATGAGCTTTTGCAAGCCATCTTCTGACTGTCCACCATAAGACAGCGTGTTTCTTTAACAAATCTGCCTGTCTTCCAACGCCGTTCCAAGATTCAACCAAAAACGTCAGTTGTCCTGAATAAACTCCAGGCATCATTGAAGAGAAGAGACCTGTCTCAAGAACGACACTAAGGTCGGGTAGGACATTCGACATATATGAAGAGAATGAAAAACAATAGTGTCTCCAATACACTTACTCGTTCGTCGCCACCGGAAGCAAGGATTTATAGCAGTCAATTAATAGCCATAGAGGGACAGACCCGAATGCACGGATCCGTACAGTACCTACATGCCAACTAATTTATCCACAGGTCGGCCCATCTTCTGGGCCGACCAGCGAGGATGCTTCCGAGGTTGCCAGTCGAGGCAGGCGGTCGAACAAGTTGTCTGGTCGACACCAACACCATCATCCTGGTGAATACGAGGTGGTGGGCTGGCATGGCTGGCAGGTGGCCAACGCCCAGTGGTTTTAGGGTCGTGGAGGCGATGTCGATCTCTTTCTTGACCGCCCCATCCAACCCCACTGGCTCGCGGGTTCTAATTTTGGCACTCCTTACATGTGCCACTTCCCGCTTTCCTTAGCAGGGAAGCCAGCGGGATCGTTGCCTCCCTGCCAAGGGTCCTTGCAGCCGGGTGACCATGGCACTGATGGTAGACCAGCCTTGATGCAGCTTTTTCTCGGAGATCGGTATGGCACTTCGACTCGACCCGAGTTCTCTATGCGGGGTGCGCCCAATCGCCGGGCCAGTCACATACTTCGGCTGCCGGTTCAGCTCGTTACTATGTAAGCGGAGAGATGAGTCCCCGATATTACCCCGACCGCAGCACCAAGGAATACGAGAGCTATGACGGAGACGTCAGGTTCTCAGCGCAGGTTTCACTGGACACCATCATTGATTGGAGTTGGCCACGATTGTTGCTCGGTTCGAATCAAAAGCTGGATTTGGAACAAGGATGGAAAATGAGACTCGGGCAAAGCGATGGGTATGATGGATATAAATCTATGGTCCCCTTCGAGGACTTTCCTCCCACACCTCCACCATCGAAACGGATAAACGGAACACACTCACCCTAGAACAGGACAAAAGTTATACTACGTTCTACTACAATCCAAGCAACCGTATGCCATGGCACGACAATACCTTCTAGCTCTCGCCGCGTTGGCGTTCACCAAGGGCGTGCTCTCCGAGCTTCTTAACTGTGGATCTGCCCAGTATGACCCGACGCAGGTAATTATATCCCACCGCTGCCCTGTTGAGTAGGAAGCTACATCGTGTTACGCGGCTGACGATATATCCACCCCCATCTCAGTACGTCTGCTACGACAACCAGTTTCTCTGCCCAATTGTGAGTGGCGAGCCGCTGTCGTACTGCTCCGGAGCCTGCTACAGCAAATTCCAATACACGTGCGCCGGCAACGTGCTGGCGGCACTGCCTCCAGTGGACTCGTCAACGCCGTTCACGCTCACCGTGTCCAACCCGACCCTGCCGGTCGACGGCAAGTTCGTCACCGCCTGCGGCCGGCACTGGAGCATCGACGGGCAGACGTGCACCTACTGCCCGGACCAGGTCGGCGACTGCCCGGCCGGCACGGTCACGGCGGTCCAGGCGGCCGGCGGCGGCGCGGGCATGAACGCCGAGGTGCCCGGCGGCCAGCTCGTCTACCTGGACGCCTTCTGGAACGTCGGCTTCACCCAGGCCCACTCGGCCGGCGTCCCAGCCGGGAGCACCACCTCGGGCTTCGCCGCCTACCACGGCGGCGGGTTCGTCAACCTCAACGGGAACGGCTACGGCTGGGTGGCGTGCCCTCCCACGGCGTCGGGCGGTGGCGGCGAGGACGGCTGGAACCTGGTGGCCAAGAACGCGTCGAATGCTGACAACTTGGGCAATTGCTACGGGGTCAATCTGAAGGTTAACGAGTTGGGTCCCAACACTTTTGCTGCCTGGCAGTATACTTGAGCTAGTCAAGTCCCCTTGCCTTTTTTTTTTTTTTTGGATGTCGTGAAACAGGCGTGGAGGAGCAGAATAATACTATGCAGCATGTAATTACCCCATGTTTTTGTGATGATTGGTTAGACATAAACGCATAGAGAATGAGCCACCTTTAGTAGTTATGCCACTGATTGCCTGACGAGCCCGGCACTGACATCTTGAGCCGGGAACCGGCACGCGAAAAGCGGCTTGAAACAAGGTTATCGGTTGGGACTTGGCGGCGCATTCCGGTAGATAAAACCCGGGCTGTTGTGGGTCTATGCTCTGGGCAGTACGTAATGTCATCGCACCAGACGGAGAAAGAGCAATTGGCATGAGCAAATAGTTTCCCATCTTTCGAAACTCAAGCATTCCCTCGGAATTCCTTCGTTTGGAACACGATCCACGGCGGAGGTGGCCTATAATGGTATCGCTGCCTACACCCTCCATTCAGGTCGGCCGCCAAAATGGGTCCAAGCGCGCCACTCCCACTTTTGTTATTGATCGTCTCTTTCGTGCTCGCCTCCCGTGCGCATTACGTCTGAATGGAACATCGATTGCAGCAATCCACCCCAATTGATACTGGGGCCATCGCGATGCTATAAGAGGAAAATCTTGGCGATAACTGGTACCCGACAGCCGAAGCTGGGAATGGGCGCGAGCAAGGAGGAGGGGGAAGGAGCAAAACAAAATTGACAATGTCCAGTTCGCCCGGCGGGGCAATCCCACAGACATCCAACCCGGCGACAGCAACAGCGATCTCGGCCTCGAACGCAGTTAACCCACCGCTGGAAGCGAGCCCGGTCTCCGATCGAGCGGCTCAGCATGTTCACTATGCGGCGGATAACGACCTGGCCGTTGGCCATGACCCAAATCCTTCCGATCCTACCAATCGAATCGTACACCCTATCCCCGACCTCTCGCGTTCCGACAGCGCCCTGACCGGCGACATTCCCACGTCTCCCTCCATCAGGAGGAGGAATACGCGCGTGAGCACCCACAAGCCCGTACAAGACTTCGATGACTTCGAAAGCCGCCCTGGCTGGCATCCCGGTGCCGAACCTGGCGTCGACCCCACTAAGCCAGACGGCGGCCATGCCTTGAGGCCAACCCTCTCCGCCCCTTGCGATATCACAGTTGTCGACTTTTCACACGAAGATATGTCCATGCGGCGCTTCGACAATGACAGCCTGATCCCCTTCCTCAAGCTGCCGCAGCCAGCATGGGCGAGATGCCGCTGGATCAATGTCAAGGGCCTCAGTTGGGACGTCATCCAGGCCTTGGGCCAATACAAAAAGCTGCACAGGCTTGCAATCGAGGACATCATGAACACGAGGAACAGGACAAAGGCTGATTGGTACGCCTCCCCAATGCCCAAGTGTTGCCCCGCAAACCGTGTCTGACTGCGAGCACCGTATTGCTGCTTTGCTGCCAGGTTTCCCACCCACGCTTTCATCGTTTTGACCCTCCACAAACTGGTCCACCTTTGCAATCCGGAGGCGAAGGACTCCAGCGACTCCAGCGGCGAGGACGACGCGGTGAGTCAGTCGAGCAGACGGAGCCGTCGGAGCGGGCGCAGCGGGCGGAGCGGGCGCAGCGGTCGTGCACCAGGGGGCATCGCGCGGCGTTTTAGATCCATGCTTGACTGGTCGAGACACGAAAAGGCTGCTGAAGGAGGGCTCGAGGACGGTGAATATTCGGGGTATTCGAGCTCCCAGCCTACGGGGTTCCCAGACGCCCCTGCGCCCACTCTAGGGGGCTTTCGGACCATCCAGGGGTACCACTCGCCCGTAAATGATGCCCGCATCGCCTTCCTGGAAAGGCACTCGGCGTTGGCAGAGAAGGGGCTTTCCGTTGCTGCTGAGCAGGTGTCCATCTTTGTCACCAATGACAACACTGTCATCTCCTTCTTCGAGCTCTCGGCGGAGGATATCGAGCAGCCCATTATCCGCCGCCTCCAGACGCCCGACACAGTCCTCCGACAATCCTGCGACGCGTCCATGGTCGGGCAGGCCATCATCGACGCAGTCATCGACCTGGCCATACCCGTCACTGCCTGCTATTCGGATGTCGTGGCAGACCTGGAACTCGACGTCTTGACCCGGCCGGACATTGGCCACACCAAGAAGCTGTACATCATGATCGCCGAGATCAACAAGCTGTTGAGATTCATCAGCCCCATTGCCAATCTCATCAATGCCTTGCGCGACCACAAGACCGACTTGACGCAGGACGCGGCCATGAATGCGCTCCAGAACCCGCTGGAAGGTGTCATCATCACCCCGATGACGTACATATACCTCGGAGACGTGCTCGATCACTGTGTCCTGATCACCGAGTCTCTCAACCAGATCCGGAGCTCCGCCGACGGCATGATCGACCTGATATTCAACACCATCTCGGCCTCGCAGAACGAGTCGATGAAGCAGCTTGCCGTGGTCAGCATCATCTTCCTCCCCCTCACATTCTTGACCGGCTATTTTGGCCAGAACTTCGAGCCTTTTGGCCAGCTTGAACGAGGCATCTCATTCTTGTCAGTGCAGTCCATCTTTCCACACGATCCACTAACCAATATATATATACTTGCTGGGCGTGGTTATGCTGACATATAGCCTCGGCCCTTCAGTTGGATCATTGGTGCTCCCATCATGGTCGCGACCATTCTCGTTCTGATGAGGCAGACCATCTGGGACTACAGCAAGGGTCTCGTGCAGCGGCACCATGTCGGCCGTTTGAGGAGGAACAGGAGGAGAGAGAGGAAGAAGCGAGCTTGAAGAAGCCTGAAATGCTGTGGCTTTTGGTGGCTGGTTGAATTCAGCACCAACTTTGCCATCCCGCCCCCTTTATTGTCCGCCTGAAAAGGCTGGCATGCATGTTGCAACATCTAGTACTGAATGTTGATACTCAAACGTGCCATCTCCATATCTTAGCTCATTGAGCGCGAGGCGATAATTACCAGAAATGATTTATTAATTAATTACCTGCAATGACGGTTCTGGATGTGTCGTTCTCTCTCACTCGAGGCTGGGAGGAGGTTTCTGTCTAAGAGATGCGGGCCCTTGCAAGGCGCGCCGCAAGAAAAGAAATCTTCAGAATCGAGCACTGCTGCCGCCAGGGAAGGACTGACGGTTGGTAATTACACTGGACCTGGGTCGATAGTCGATACTTGCTGGATCGACAAGACTTCCAGCGCCGAACTGTTCGAAGCCACGGGTGTGCCCACTTCCATCCTCGACCACCTCAATGACCTCTACATCCTTCCGGTTGATAATAGGATGTGCTGGGCTCAACTCGCCCGACTATTCGAGGTGAAGACTTGATCTGCCGCCTCATGCAACTTTTTAATGCCAACATGCCTCTCCTATACAGGGGGAACGGGAGTATCTGTCTGCCTGCAGGAAGAGATACCAAAGACAGCCAATTATCACACCACGTTTCTCTAGGGATTCTTCTTGTCTGAGGCACAGTACAAACACTCCCCGGAGACGGGTCAGCCAGGATTGGCATGATCGCCCAGGCCCCACAAGACTTCCAAAAAGCCCTCGATGCGACGCCCTGGCCATGGTGGGCTTTCGGAGCCGCGGGGAGCCCGTGATGAGATGGATCATCACACCGTCGCGAGGTGGCCGCGTATAATCGAGACGCGAACCGCATGGACATCTAGGATGTCCAGGCCGTCTATGCGCGTCCGGTGAACCGACACCTTCGGTAGGCTGGGTCCCGTGGCTGGGTCTCGCCACGAGGTGCCTGGGGGTACTCGTCAGGCTGTGTCGTGTCGGAGGGCCAATTCCAGTCACTCTTTCTCTTTTCCCCTTCCCCTTCCCCGTCTGAAACCATCAACCCCCCGCTCCTTTGACGTCTTCAATAAACGACCCGACATTCCAAGCATCGAACCTGAGTCAAGGTGTGGACGCCAAGAGACTCATAATTATTCGCGGCGCGGGAATGGCACCGGCCGATGTCCCTGGGGAATCAATCGGGGCCAAATTTGAAGGATGTGTAGTATTGGTTACACCGCGGTTATGAGTGAGTATGCCTTTTATCCCAGTGGATATCTAGACGTAGGTAGAAGCAATAGGAAAAGCTCCGGGTAAGCTCCGGGAAACGCAACTTGGATGCCGTGCCAAACAAGTTGATGTCCTGCCTACCACAACCTCAGATGAGACGATTTGAGGTAGGCCCTAGAGCGGAAGTTGTTGACCAGCGCGCGGCCCCGGAGCTGCAGCTGTTCGAGGGAAAGGCTGGCGAACTGAACATATCGGAGATCAGCTAGAGAGAGTTCGGTGTACTTCTGCCCCCCGTTACTATAATCCCCAGCACGCGAGTATGACTCGCACATGTAGAATCTGGGAGCTGTCTCCTGCTAGGACTGTTTGCGTACGTATTTTAGGTATTCCGGGAGTTCCGAGCTGGAAGGGGGGCAATGCTTCCATGGAGGAGTGCGACTACATACCCGAATTCTGAACAATTGTCCAGTCGCATTCATTACGATGGGGTTCCTCGCGGCGATCTTTTGTGGGCTCTTGAGGCAATGAAATAACGGGATGTCATTTGGTTATCCGAAGGATTCTAGCCTAATATTGCTCGTCGCCTTAGACGTTCAATCCCTGCTCATTTTAGCCTATCCATAAGTCGAATCTCGAAGCCCTGGAAGAGAACCCCCCCTCGTCGATCTCCTCCACACTTCCGCGTTGCCGGGCATCAAAGGCCCGACTCTATATTGCGGACTCTAGAACCATGGAGAGAGAAACACATTTGTACCTGCCAACGGCATTATATACTCCGAGCCCCTGGTCGTAGTCTCTGTTGTCAATTGTAGGTATATATTATTGGTAGGCCCAGCCAAGCCTCCCCAACAGAAGAACCTGGTACTCAGGCCCATACCTCTTGTCTATGCAGCTTGGCGGCTCCCGAGTACCTAAGATGCGACTCCCATTCATTGGCCTATTGGTTACCTTACTTGCTTCGGTAAACGCTAGCCTCGTCCAGAAGAGAGCTGCTGTAGACGACTGTCTAGTGGCTGCCGGTGTTCCCACAGATATTCCAGGTTCCACAGACTGGAAATACGACGTCGCCCCGTTCAATCAGCGATTTAACTACACGCCAGTAGCAATCGTGGTACCAACGAATGTGCAGCATATACAATCGGCAGTCTCCTGTGCAGCCAAGGTTGGAGTCAAGGTCAACCCAAAGTCAGGAGGCCACAGCTATGCGGCATTCGGGCTAGGAGGGGAAGATGGGCATCTCGTGGTTGAACTCGATCGAATGAACGAAGTCAAGCTGGATCCAGAGACCAACATGTCCACGATACAGCCCGGTGCTCGGCTTGGGCATGTGGCTACGTCCTTGTATGACCAGGGAAAGAGGGCATTTAGCCACGGAACATGTCCAGGGTAAGCCGGCGCCCTCCTCCCTCGTGGGGTTGAAACTGCCAAGTTACCTAGCTAATCAGTCATCTCGGTCAAAAAAGTGTTGGCCTTGGCGGACACGCTCTTCATGGCGGCTACGGTTTCAGCTCTCATACGCATGGCCTTGCGCTTGACTGGATACAGTCTGCTACTGTGGTCCTTGCCAACGCCACAGTGGTCAACTGTTCAACTCAAGAGAACGCGGACTTGTTCTGGGCCCTGCGCGGAGCCGGGTCTTCCTTCGGAATCGTCACTTCCCTCCAGTTCAACACCTTTGAACCGCCGCCTGTCATGACTGTTTTCACTGCCGAATTGCCATGGGGAAACGCAGAGCAAGCAATGGCAAGTTGGACAGTCCTCCAGAACTGGACACAGAACTCCATGCCCAGCGAGATGAATATGCGTGTCTTTGGGTCCAGTGTCGGCGCCCAGTTGCAGGGTTTATATCACGGAGAACTTTCAGCTCTCAAAACAGCCATCGAACCATTGATGACTCTCCTTAACACATCCCTCACCGAAGTAGACGAGACGGACTGGATGGGAGGCTTTACTTCCTATGCCTACACTGACGACGTTGACTTGAGTCACCCTTACAACGCGGTATGTAACAACGTCCTCGCACCGCGGACCAGGAAGGTATAATGACTAAACCGGCCGCAGCAAGAGACGTTTTTCTCCAAGAGCTTGTTAACCTCAGCGCTTCCGGAAGAGGCTATGCAGGCGGCAGTTGATTATTGGTTGGACAATGCCCACTCGACATCCCGGATATGGTATGTCATCATTGACATGTACGGGGGCAAGAATGCTGCAATTCCCAAGGTTCCCGGAGAGGAGACTTCCTACGCTCATCGTGACAAGTTGTACCTCTACGAGTTCTATGACCGTCAGTTTTTCGGAACCTTTCCCGCCAATGGCTTTGACTTCCTTAACGGATGGGTCGACGCCTTCACAACCAATCTTGACACCACGCAGTGGGGTATGTACATCAACTATGCCGACCCAACGATGGATCGAACGGAGGCACAGGAGAATTATTGGCGACAGAACCTTCCCAGGTTGCAGCGGATTAAGGCCGACGTGGACCCCACTGATATTTTCTATTACCCCCAATCTATCAAAGGTTCGAATTTAGCGTAAAGATTGCTAGCTTAATGTTAGGGATTAATAAAGATTACTTGCATAAAGTAATAAATAGTTTAACTTTAAACCAATATACTAAGGAAACTACAAGAGTGATAACTAAGCTGTCTACTAATTAAGCATAATAAGTAATTTAATAATAAGCATTTAAAGTACCTAAGTTGTGCGATAACTCTTTTATAAAGATTATATAAAGATTACTTGATAATCTAACTTCAAACCTATATATTAAGGTAACCGCAATAGTGATGAATAAGCGGTTTGCTGATTAAGTATTCAAAAGGTTAGGTTGTGACCAAAGAGGTAGGTTGTGGAAGCAAAGTATTCAACTAGTGAAAGTAATGCTGTAAGCAGTAGAAAGGCAGGAAGTAAGGTAGGCAAGTAAGGTGCAGAAGACTAGTTGTATTGTATGGTTGATGATGATTTTTCCAAAGTTAGCCGGCTAATCTAACTGACTATATAGTAAAAATTCAGTCTTCTTGCTTTACTTGATCTACTAGATCAAACAACTTGATACCTCGGATCGGTTGATCAGACCGGGTCCGTAGGATCCGATTGTTTGAATCAGTAGTAATACGTAGATCACACACTTACAAGGTGGTGATACGTTCCAAGTGGTTTGACAGGGTTTGAAGGTTTTAGGTAGTTTGATTTTCTGCACCTACCCTGTACTTGCAAGGCTACCCTGGACTTGCAGGGCTACCCTGGACTTGCAGGGCTACCCTGGACTTGCAGGGCTACCCTGTCCTTAAGGTTAGGGTTGCCTTTGGCAGGAAAGTCCTTTGGACTTCAAATGCCAATTATAAGGTAAGCATTAATCACGTGACTTAGCTACTTTGTAGGCTTATAAATAAGTCATATGTGATGCTTAATTAGCAAACCGCTTAGTCATCACTATTGTGGTTGCCTTAATATATAGGTTTGAAGTTAGATTACCAAGTAATCTTTATATATACCCAACGCCCTCCTAGGACATTACAGCTTTTTAGTAGGTCTACTAATTCCCACGTTTTCTGTGCTTCTAATTCGTCAACTTCCGCTTTCATTCCTTTAAACCAGAGGGCTGCGTCAGGGCCTCTCATAGCTATTTTATAGGTTGACGGTTCTTTATTGGTATTAGTAATTACTAATATAAGCTCGTCAGCTTCAGCTTCTGCTGTATTTGGTAAAGCACTATATTTAATTTGTCTTGTAGAAGGTTGTGGGTTGTGATTTTCAATATCACTTGTTTGATTTAATTCATCTTCTATTAGACTATTATTATTACTTGATTCAATAATAGGCGTAGACCTTAGGCTTTGGTTTAAATCAACTGGATCGCTATTTAAAACCTCAGCTTCATTATTTATATTACTTAAATCGTTACTATTTAAAGTAATATTTGAAAAATCAAGTAGTGCTTTGGGTATTTCTTCATTTTTGGACTTTATAGTTGTAAGAAAGCGGTTTTCCATTATGTATAAATCTCTTGTCTAAATAAGCCTTTTATATTCAAAGTCCTAGATCTTGTAATTATTACAGTCTATACCGTAACCTATTAGAATTCCTAGTATGCCACAAAAGTCTAGTTTCTTAAAGTCAAGCCTCTTTCTTTTAAAGTAAACTAGGCTCCCAAAGACTTTAATATTGGTAATATTAGGTTTTTCACCACTTTTGGCTTCATATAGTGTCTTAAATCCTAGCTTACTATATAGAGTCCTATTGTATAAATAGGTTACAGCTAGTAAAGCCTCTCCCTACATATATTATAGTAAATTACTATTTAATAGTATACACCTTACTTTATTTAGTAAGGTACGATTAATCCTTTCAGCATTTCCATTTTGTTCTTTAGTGTATGGAGCTGTGATTTGGTGTATTATACCAGCTTCATTAAGTGTGATTTTAAAGCGTTTATTTACATATTCAGTGCCATTATCAGAGCTTAGTATTTTAATCTTATGCTTTAAGCTTGTCTGATTTTCAGCTTTAGCCTTAAAAGTTAGGAATGCACTGTAGGCTTTGTCTTTTAACCTTAGTAAGGTAACTTCAAGGTATTTGGTCTTTTTATCCAAAAAGGTAATAAAATACTGGTAATTATCGTAAGTTAATGGCGTAATTAGGCTACATAAATCACTACTGATTTTATCTAGGTATTCATAACTAGTATTATTGCTAGTAACCTTAGGCACACTATTGGTTATATTTGCCTGTATGCAAATTTCACACTTATGCATATTGCAGTTATTTGCAAAATTTGCATTAGCATTTTGAATATCTTTATAGCCAGTAGTATTATTTTGGTTATAAGAATTGTTTTCAGTAGTGTTTATAGTTATTGATTTTATTACGTCAGCAGAATTAGGTTTTGCCTGACAGTTGCCTTGTAAATTAAGCTCTACTTGGTGTACGGCTGTTTTTCACTCTATGTACAGCCTTTTTGAATTTCAGCCACAAGGTCTTACACAAGGCCCTGCAATGCTTACCGCCTACTAAATTTGGTAATAACCAACATTCCAACCACTCCTTTGTAATCATCACCACTACTTATGCTAGCGACAGGAAGTTAAAAACAGCACAAAGTTTAATTTTTCAATGTTTTGGTATATACCTTTACAGCAAATTTACTAGGGAAAGTACATTAGAATACATAAGTGTAAAATTCTACCACTGTGTTTACACTTGATTTCTATCTACTTAGTAAGTACTGTCTATAAGGCACCTATGAGATTAACTTTGTGATTATCGTTGCCAAAGGGGTTGTCATCTAGCCTAACCTGCCTAGCTAGAGGGGCTAGGAGGCTTGGGGAGGCTAGGGCGCCTAGGGTAGAGAGAAGTGTATAGTATTGCGGCCTGCTTGTGATGCCTCTGCTAGTATTGACCTTCTTTGCCTTTGTTCTGCCTGCTGCAAGGTCTTTCTTTAGCCAGCCTTGCTTTCTTGCCATTGTTGTTGTCTAAAGAGCTGCTAGCGCTATACTTGGTAGCAGCCTCTAATTACCAATATCCTTTGCAGTCAAATCGATGCCCTTCTATTGAGATAGATGACAGCAGCTACTAGCTAATATACACTAGTTGCTCTAAGCACTTGGTAGACTGCGTGGCTTGGCAAAGGCAAAGAGCCTAGCGCTTTGCAAGCAACCTTTAAAGACTTTAACTTTGAAAGGGTTGTAGATTTAAAGGTAGCAGTTAATATCGTCTTGTAAAAGTAACCCTATTAGCTTGTAAGTCTAAATAAGAGTATCTTACATACCAAGTTGCGCTAAAGGTGCCAATATAGATAGATATCTTCAATCTTCACACTCTTGCTGTCTTCTTCCAATTGCAGTAGCTTGTGAAGGCAAGGCAGGCTATACTAAGCCTAGTGATGATTTGAACAAAGGCTAAGCAGTCTATATAGCCTTATTAGTCTAGGGATTGCTCTAAAGGCAATTTGATGCTGGTTTTTTATCAAGACAAGCGCTTTGAGAGAGATCTGTCAAGAAAGATTGCTAAGGTAGACCTAACCACTAAATTTAAAGCAGACCTAGGTCTATTAATCCTTTTCTTCACGCTTAAAGCTGCGCTTCTAATCTTTAACTAGCTTCTTGGCTAACTAAACAACCTGCTTAAGGGTAGACTTGCTAGTAACCTTATAGCTTTTAAGACTATAGTAGGCGCTTTTAGTAGGTAATGTAGTGCGCTAGCTAAAGTTAGTATACCAAGAGATATATGCCTATGCCTATTCTTCCTTCTTTGGCATCACTGTTTTTTCAATATACTTCAAGATTGCCATCTAATCTTTAAAGTCTCTCTTTATTATAGCGTAAGCCTTGTTAAAATCACCTTTAGTCTTCCTATAGATAATATAACGCTACAGGACAAAGAGGCTAGCCTAAGAATTCTCTACGCGGTTAAGAAGCTTGCTAATATTAACATACTGGCTAGTCTTAACGTAAGAGTTAAGGCATTAAAGCTTATCGTTATCTTTTTCTTCAGAGGCAAGGGCAGTCAATAGAGGAATCACATGATTGTTATCTCTATACTGATAAAGGTGGCTATATTCTGGCTTGTCAAGCGTTGCTGCAAGCATAGAAGCAGGCGTAGAAGCAAGCATAGAAGCAGGTAAAGGCATTTCCATAGATGCTAGAGCTAGGGCTAGGGCTAGGGCTAAAGGCTTCTTCTACTTCTTCTTGATATTCAACACTATATTCTTGTTGATATGGAAGATACAAAGCTACTGCTATACTATATCTCTATACACCTCTGTCAAAGCTGTCTTGACATTTGCTTCTTAGTCTGTAATAAAGACTCTAGGATAGGTAGCATTAATGCAAGCCTAAAAAGCCTCAAAATGTTAAATCAACTACCTGTATCTCTTTTTGCACTTATTGTCAATAAATCCAAAGCAGGCAGTAAAAGTCTAGTTAATATTCGCAACCCTAGTGACTTGGAAAAGCAAGAGCTAGTATTTGTTAGTCTTGTATATATTGTCTGCCTGTAAAACCTAAGGGAATTGCTTTTACTACTGCTTACACTAAGAAAGCGTCTAAAAGAGGCTAACAATATAGCTAGAACCGTTAAAATTGTACAAGACTTTATGCTTGATATCTTCTGCCTCAAAGGTGCAAATTACAGACTAGGTAGGCGTATAACTATTATAGGCTTGCTTTTTTTGCTGCATGCAGAGGTTCTCAAGGTCTTTATTGGTAAAGACAGCGTTAGGAAATTCGTCGCAGAGGATTTGAGAGATATTGCGACTTTAGATTGCCAGGCTAGCCTTAGTGATCTAAGCAATGCGCTCTTTCTAAAAGTCTGTAAACCTATGGTAGTTGTAGTGCTTGTTAGGCTAAGTAAAGGCTTTGTGATTCTTGTAATAGTCTTTGCCTTCCTTAATCTTCAAGACATACTTCTAGTCTGTCTTCTTAGTTGCAAAGGCATAAGCTTTCCAGATACACTTTACTTTAGAAGTTAAAGTTGTATAGGAGTAGGCTTTTAAAAGGCAGGCGTTTCCTTAGTTGCAATACTAGTCAACCTGCGTT